TTCGTCTGCTGCTTCTCTCGGATTTATATAAATTACTCTGTTAAACGTTTATTTTATATATAAATTACCCGGTTTAATACCCCATTAAATATTCGCTTTAAACCAACCCACGTGGTACTTAGCCAGCTACAACTATTTATCAAGACACTCCCTGGCCTCTTTACTCATATCTTCATATATTCTGTAGACTGGAACAGTCTAGTACCAAACTTTAAATTGGCCCTAAAACACCACAATTTAATTAAATGCCATTCCTACACAAATCCTCCTGGATATTCATCACGTCCATTATAATCCGTTCCGCCCTTCCACTACGTAGAAAACCTCTGAAATCTGTCGCTATTATATAACTACTTGGTATTGGAAGTCGCATCTTCAACATTCGTGATTGCAGGGATTTAATGGTAGCTTTTTATATTACAACCAATCAGTAGTCAGTAGTCACCCTGCGGGAAAACTTCAAACAGCTGCATCGTGCATTCTCAGGAGGTATGAAAATAGGTACACCGCGCTTATACCGCACTTATACCGCACTTATACCGCACTTATACCGCACTGCTAGACGTTCATTGTGTCGAGTATTTTCTATCGCATGCCGGTTAGCCTGGTCTATCAGTCCGTATGTTTCTTTCATTTCCTGGTTAATCTTGCAGTGCAGGCATGCTCTCTGAATGTCTTCAGATCTACTTCCAGGTTCACATTACGTCAGAGATTGACAAGATGACGTCACCCCACACTTACCCTCTCATTTATCGCATTTCTTGACAGTTTTCTCGAATTTCTCGAAATTGGCTAATCAACTTTCGTGATATGTTATTAAGGAAGTGTGTAGTGGTGACTGGTGCACCTTTATATCTTGAAACCAAGTATTGTTGTTATAATTACCATTTCAACCGGGACATTTACCAGATTAGGCGTTGATATGACGCGGACAGAGCAATGATTTGTTATTTAGGAGAGTAATTTCATAAGCGCTGTCACATGCGACTCATTTTATAATTATCGATGATTAAGTTATTGCCTAAATTCCATCTTTGTCATTCTGTCCACTTTGCAATTTACTCCTTATAATGAAAATCATCGCAGTACAATTTAAAACATTCAATGGTTCTTCCCTTTACAGTTTTATCACCATCCCACTGGTCTTTGTGTTTAAATAACTTGCTTACCAATCAACATGCAATCACTGACACCTATCAAGACCAATAATTGACTCATCATAAGATGGTGCACTGTAATTAAGTTCACATACCTTCACTTAAATTAATAAGTTCACATACCTTCACTTAAAAACTTAGGAATCCAACAATCGAGCCCTCGTTTATCAGCTATAACCGTCTAACAGGATCAATATCCTCACACCCTCGTGGTAATTAGAGTGTTCCCATGGTGTCTAAGTGGGTTTACAAGGGCTCATCTCGCCCCCGTTCCCGGTCAACCCTCTAGGTCATCCCCCTCTCTCTATCCTATTAGTCCAGTTAAACTGTTTGCAACAACTGATAAGTAACGTGCGATAAGTGTTTGCAGAAAGTTCCACTCCAGGATCCCACGAGGTTGAGTTAGACGAGTGGAGAGTGAGAGCTGTTCTGGTTTCTCTTTGTTGTGCTACTTTTTAGTTCTCAGATGAGCTGTACTATTCGACCTCTGCTCGCTTATCTTCAGTTTCAAGTCCGTGAACAAGTTTCCAGTGCTCATCAATTCTCGGCCCATTTGTTCTTGATACGCCCGACTTCTTTTACGTTTCAGCATGTCAATTGGGAGGTTGTTATGATTTACCTAAAGTTTTTAACTCCAAACGAAGATCTTCGCAGACATTATGTTCTGAGTAAACAGCCGACACTGGGTCAAACAATAAACAAATGCCCACCTGCCCCGGCCCTACTAGCCCCCCTACCTAGCTCCCCATTACAGTTTCTCAGATTCTTTTTGCAAACAACTCGGTGTCCAATATCAAACTAGAGCATCTGAGAGGCGTGCCCGTCACGTGACGAGCTCGTGTCCAATAACAACAGCCTTGTCTCATCACGTGACCCTGAAGTGTGGTTATCAATTTCAAAACATTTGATCGGATATAAATAGACAGCATGAATCATCTGCTTAACTTCTCCTCGTGTCTCAATTGGCCCTTCTTTTCTTGCTTTTGTCGAATATTGAAGCCCATCCTTCGGAACATTTTTCCTTCCATTATACAATGAATGGACTATAATTGATTCCCACGCCAACCCTTCTAAGCATAACATTGTGTGCACTTTTTGTCATTACACCGCCTATCCGGTGGCATTTGGTGACATCACCTTATAAAGCTTTAACAAGTCCTGTGTTTGCTTACTTACTATTATACGCTTGCTAACCGTCCCGCCAAGTCCCTCTCGTCAGCTTTCCCAACGCTGATTGGTCAATCTTCAGCGCTGTCGCCGGTGATAGGTCAATTATTCGGCTCGTCCTGCTCTGATGAATTGTGGAAATTGTCACGTGACTTTGATGATCGCTAGCTTGTTTTTAAAGTAGATGAATGCCCTTTGTACTGAATATTTGATTACCTGATTAACATATGTATTATTTGAACACACGTATTACTCTCTGTGAGGTGTGTGATGGGGAATGTGTTTCAGTTAAAACTCTCCCCTAGACTCCTAGTCTGTCTGTTTGGTGTCTTCACTTGTTTTACTGTAATTCTGGTGTGGTGGGGTTTAGTGGGGTTTGGTGGGGTATTGTTCAGTGTGGTGTGGTAGAGTGTAATGTACTATATTGCTACTCTCCAGCCAGTGCTAGTTGAGCCAAGTGGTCATTACGTCTAGGCATTGTGGAGCTGCTCAATGATTTGACTGCTCACACAGTAACTAAACCACATAACCTGGGTTAATGTAGTATCTAGTTTAGTTACGGTTGTATGGTCTGGTCTCCACAGTAAGGGTTTGTGTATGATGATCATTGTCCGTACTCAGAGTACGCCACTCCAGTCCTTCACAAGACGCCGGGTCCCGTTCTCATCTCTTTTAAACATCTCGTACTCTACTCCGAGACTTTAGATACGATACGTTACATTCCATTACAAACGCATGATTCGCTTTATTCCACGACACTCAGTTTGATTTAACCTCAAACTTTGGTCATCCTTAACAGCGGTCACCTTGATAAAAACATCATGATCAAATATATACAAGCGCTCCCTGATGCTGACACATCCCAATCTTGTCATGTTTGCGTGCACATTTGATACACTGTTACCGGTAAAAACAATCCTCATAAAACCTTCCCAAGACAGTGTCTACTACTCCTTGCTAAATAACAGAGCTTGCAACAACATTCGGGGTTATAACAACTTTTAAACAATATTATTATATGTAAAATATAATATAGTAAATAATAATGGACAGCAATGTGCTATTTGAACTTGCTATTTACTGTAAGTTTGATATTGCATAACCAGGCAAGGTGAGTGACACTGTAGCGGTTCTTCTCTTTGAGTCCATGCTTCCTGAGCTTTTACGTCCTAACACGTTGAGAGACAGTCCCGGTAACGACTAAAAGAGAACTGGGGCAGATGGAGGACCGAGCAAGAGAGAGAGAGAGAGAGAGAGAGAGAGAGAGAGCGAAAGAGAGAGAGTGAGGACACCTTGTGGCTACTCAAGGTGGTTTTGGGAACGGAGGTATAGTGGCACTCTGGCTATGACCATGCTGGTAGTGTTGCTCTAGCTCTCGCTCTCTTGCGCTTCTTCCCATCTCCCTTGTGTTCTAATGAGTCCGGCTCGCTCCCTGTTTTTCTCTTCCTTTGTGAGCCCGAGTACCGAATACGGGGCTGGCGAACGTGTGCTTGTGGTGTGCTTGTAGTGACGTTTATAACTGTGGGGCCGAGAGTTGATGTTTCAGGGGTCGGTAATGTAGAACAGATTATGTAATTTTGTGCTTTGAGAGCTGGTCAGGTGGTGGCATTAGTTAGATTCAAATTAGTTGTCTAGCACTGAGCACACCACTTCTTTGTCTGTTTTGTTGCCTGTAAGTTACTGCCTATTTTAGATGTCTGATTTCGTCTCAAGGTTTTAGACTTTGCTGTCAGTTTTTATATTTATTCCCTACATGCAGAAACTTTTTTTTTCATCTCAATTTCCGGCTTGTTTGATCAATTGGTTACAGTGATGGACGTTTAACCTACTTTTTGATTGGTTAAATAATACTTATTTCGCTACCCACCCAAATCCCAATAAGTCCTTATGTAACACTTAGTGTTCCAGCTTTCCATCTATCGCCTTATTACTGGTCGAGCTTAAACTGTCTGCCAGATCCGAGGACAATTACATATAACACGTGAATATTGCTCCTTTATAAAGATAACACGTGAATTTTGTGAGCGTTTAACCGCTCAAAAATGTCAAGTTTGGGCACTGTTTAACCAGGTTGAACAGTAATTATACCTGAGATGTTTCTAATAGTAAATCTATTACCTTGTGCATCGTGGTATTGTCTTTTGTTTTCTCTCACCGTTTGCCTCGATGACTTGAACCCGTCGTGATTTTCCTGATCTCCATCGTGATCTACCAATTACATTTGCTGTGATTTCACATTATAATAATATCGTGGTTTGATATTATTAAGATCCGATTATCACGTAATTACTTAATATCACAACGTTATTCCGAGGACTGTAATTTAAATAACGTTTTGTTCACACTGTAGCTCGAAGAATCCCCTTTTAATGTGCACGTGATAATATGCAGCTAATTCTTTGTGGAATCATCATACTAGGTAATCTCCCTAAATTATTTTAATCACAGAGTTGTCAAAATGCAAATTTTACTCACAAACCTCACTGATTTATTCTTGCCACGTATTTTGTAACATCTGACCTACAAACCAACTCAAAATCAATACACACAATTCAGTACCTCATACTGAAGTCCTCATTACGTAGTACGTATACATAATCACGAAGTTAAACTTTATCTTTTGAAATTATCCTCAATCTTTTCATTTGTTCGACCCTGACCCTGTCCTAATTTCAGCGTTTAGTGGAGAGCTGTGCACGGTTGAAGCTACTGACTGCGGCTGCGTACACGGCACGTGCAGTGACGACCCCCACACCTCGTGTATCTGTGACCTGGGATGGATGGGCTTCAAGTGTAACGAGAAGATCATCTCCTGCGAGTTTAATCCCTGTCAAAACGGAACGTGAGTACTATCTGTTTTTGTAGCAAGTTTTTTTCCCAGGGTTTATGAGGTTTTCTGCATAATTCTTATCAAATTCGTTTAAACGTGATGCCCGGCACAGTGTACGTGTTTTGGACAAAAAACAATGGAAATTACCATTACGGTCCTTGTGAAATAATCTGTTTGAATTGTGGATTATATAATATATTAACTGATTATATCTTCCCGGAAATAACTGCACCCTTATTACATGGTTTTTTGGCAGCTGATAATAATCATTGGATTACAACCATTCCCAAATCTATAAAGAACTAAATACAGTCCTCACACCTGTCTAACTTAGCACAAGAACCCCAGCAAACAATGCTGTATATTCTAGATAGAGAGAGTAGTACCCCAGAGTAAGACATATTATATAATCTCTGTTATCAGTACTAGGAAGACACGTGTAGGGTTTGCCACTTTGTTAATACCCAATCAAAGGGCCGTCAAACACTGGAACACTGGTCGTTAGTGGTATACTTGTTGACACTTACATTCCTCACATGTTGACCCTTTGCCAAGACAGTGGAGCTATATTGCAGTACTAGTGTACTATTACTAGTACTATCACCACTAGTACTACTATGACCAGTTCCAATATATACCGATACTGTTATATCCATGTCTTATTTATTTCTTTATTTGTAGTAACTGGCATTGAGATTAAAGATGTTTGGCCAGGGCTCGCTCTAAAAGTTTGCATTCGAATAACTCAGTTGAGTAATTTGTAACTGCAATGGGTGGAAAACTAGCACAATTTTATTGTGTGAGAATTAAGCTATGGTCTTAAATTTAATTAATCAATATGCCCAAAAAGAAAGTTTTTTATCTTGTTTCATGGGGGGTGATTCAGAATATTTTGCATGGTGGCCAACAACTAACTAAATAACCAAGTTCGCCACATTTCTATAATACAACATACGTGAGTATTCACACCCCGCTTCACACTAAACCCTTACTCCTTCATAAACCACCCGCTTGTTCAGGGGTCCGAACCAGATATCCACCTGCAAGGAGTACACCTACAACCAGAACAGGAACAGGAACATCCACTGTCAGTGCGGGGTAGGACTGGGAGGGAATTTCTGCGAGAATAGAATTGACATGTGCAGTGCAAATCCTTGCAGGTAACTAACTATTCCTTTGTAAAGTGTGTTATTCGATTACTAAAATTCGATTATTATGATTATTCGATATGGAAAGTTTTATGTCAAGAAAAATGACGAGTTAAGTTTAGTGACGAAATTCATGAAAATTTCAATATAATAAAGATTTTTTTCACAATACCTGGACTGTTTTCCTACTTATTGAATCATAGTTTATTTTTATTCGTATCAAGTTATTCGCGTCTTAAAGCCCACACTCCAAAGTGAATCATCTTAATTCGTTGCGCCTAGATAGTAGATTCAGGACTCAGCTCGGCAAGTGTACTATCCCCAATATTTGGGGACGGCCGGTAACAGTGTTAGTCCTTTAACTGCTGACAGGTCCGGCCTGTTAACTGAACATTGTTGGGACCCAATCTAACTGACATTTCCCACAGAGGTAACGGTAACTGCACTGATATTGGGGGAGGAGAGTTCAGGTGTGACTGTTTCCCGGGCTATCAGGCAGAGAACTGTGAGCGCGACATAGACGAGTGCAACGTAAGTAGAACATATTCTTGATTTATATCTCTCTTTAGGCTTTTAGGGTAGGAAATATAAACGATAATGTTAGTAATATCACAGGGGTACTATCATAATTTGTATTTTATGAAAACATTATTTGCATTGTCCCCCACCCTTAGTGTTGCCCGCTCCCCGCCCCGGACCCCAGAGACAGTAGAGTCCAGATACTGGACACATGTTACCAGTATTATATTGATAGCTCTGTTCAGGACAACTATAACATGAGGGGCTAGTATGTAAGCTCACCACGGAGCCAACTAATGAGCTCCAAGTGGTGCAGCTCTCTCTCTCTCTCTCTTCTTGATCCAGGTGCTAAATGGAGCTGGCTTACTGATTGTTCAATTGTTGGAGGTCATTGTTAATCACGTGATAGTCACACGATGGGCCAGGTGTGGTTCGGTTTCTGGTCTGGAGCCGTCAGGCGATTAGAAAATATTATCCCGTTTAAGTTACGGGAGCTCAAATTAATGATTTTTTGGGAACATTTTTGTTATGGCAGATGATCCGATCCCCATACTTTTGATCTGATATTATATTCTGCAATCAAAATATCTTGGAACATATTGTAATCGGTGCTTTATGATATCACTACAATCCTGTTATATTATATCAATTAAAAAGAAGCCTTTAATTTTTCCATAGAAAGAGTCCCGTGCCTACCGTACCAATATATTGATTTCGAAACAATCCATAATCTGACGTTTCTATGTAATTTTACTCTTTCAAGTTGATATTTTTAAGGATTTGGCTTCCTTAAGATTGTGGGAAATGTCAAAGTCTGCAAAATTGTTAGGTTTCATTATCAGGCCTGGTAACCTTTTAACTTGTAGAATATACAAGCTCATAAGTGAGATGGGTTTAACTCAGTGCAGGAGTTAATCTGAAAGCTATGCCGCAGGTTAAACTAGTTACAACTCCCATTTTATTTGCATTATTAGCCAATGAGAAGAGGTGTCCGGGGGATCTGATCACGTGACAGTCGACATTAATCCCCAACCACTACGTTATATAACATTGCTAAAATGTCTGAGATTCTAAATTTACATTATTGACAAGTCCACTGTTAAATGTTCTCGACGTGGACAAACAAATATAGCTCGCTTTAACCTGGAACCTGGTATTAAGGCTTAGTAATAAAAACATAAAGCTGACATATTTTGATGGTTAAATTATTGTTGCAGCATACTGAACGGGAGTTTAGATGTTTTCTCTCGGGAACTGCTACTTCTACTTCTTTTCTTAACTTAGAGCAGTTTCTGCAACATATTATCTGACGAAGGCTCAGACACACAGGCCATTGTGTGAGCCATATCCGCTTTACTGCCAAAATCAAACTCCAGGTTAAGATTTTGATTCATTTAATTTAGCTTTAATTGAACTTTTGTAATAGAACAAAGATACTATAAAACAGATGATAAATAACTCGGCCTTGAACTAATGAAGATTTTACTGACACAATTAAGAAGATAAAGAATTGATTATAATCCGGTTCGATTGACTTATTACGAAAACAGAATGATCTAGACATTGTACTGATGCATACCTGAAGTTTATAATTGACTGAGAAATTACAACTTATGATCTCGAACTTAAGTATTACATTTAAACGGGGAAAATATCGTATGCTTCTATTATTGTGAAGAGGACACTGCTCTTAATTATAATCTGGTTATTTCTTAGTCACGTGATTAGATGGCTCTTAATTGATTGGTTTAGTTGACTGCAAGTGTTGCAAAAGACTGCCAATTACCTGTGCTTCAGTTGTTCACTGATAAGTGCAAACGTATGATAATCAATTCAATAATTAGGATTATTCTGTTAATTTTAATTAGTCTCATATATTATCAATTTACTCGCTGTGCTAATTCTGCTGCCAAAGTAGACATGTCTCAGTGTTATCAAAATTTAATTTACAACTTGAACCTAATAATTCTACTTAATTGCAGGCCGCACACCTCATTATATCATCAAGGTTAACTGTAGTTTTGCTTTTTCGAACAAGCATAATACCACAAATTTTTCTCTACCAGTATCATTTAGTTATTTAAAGAGTTGCATGTATCCAATGAGAACCCTGGCAACAACACTAGCTACCTGTACCAGCCCGGAAGTCTCAAAGTAACGGTCCTGCTTAGAAAACGTATGTAATTACTGTTTTCGAAAACTTTACATGCGTACAGTACACAGTATGTGGGCCTACTCGCGCTGGCCCCGGGCCAATAGGATGTCATTAGGGGTGTCACGTGATGGCTGTTTGCCAGTAGTAGAGCTGTATTCAAGTCAAGTGATAGGACCGGCTGTACTGTACTGCACATAGTGCGCACATTACATGAATTTATCTATAATGTGCGATGAACATTTAAAATTGGTTACAAATTCCACGTAAAATTGAAGCAACCACAGCACCTTGTAAGTCTGATGCTGTTCTGGAAGGATTTGCAACAATTAATTAATCATTGAAACTGACAAATTTGTTTTTACATCAGATAGTTTTGCTCATCTTGGTGAACTCAGCATTTCAGACATTGTTGTCATAGTGATATTGTAGCAGTAAATGGGACGTAGTCCCAGTTATTACATGCTTTTGTCACAGCTTATTCACTATGTATATGATTTTGTCACAGTTACTACACAGCTATTTACAATTACTTTAACTCTAACAGAATTACTTTAACTCATTACTATAAGTGGGTCGCTGTAACTTACCCACAGTAGCAGTACCCATCTAGATAAATACAGACAGAGGTCGGTCAAATTAACGTTACTGTTACGTCAGTCCTGAATATATATAAAGGTGTGTACGGTGGTGTTATCGATACGCGATAAAATGATTTAAACGCAGAGAAACCCAAGTAATTTGAACTCACTAATATTATGTACTGTGTGTGTGTGTGGGTACAGGGGGGGTCCTCGACTTCTCCTCTTCTTCACTGATACTAATCAGACACTAATTATGGGTCATCCCGGAAAACCTGCAATATGCACAATTTCGATGGTTTCGGTGGAAGGTTTTTTTTTCCGTGCTTTACTGGAATGTCTAGAATGTGTTAATGGAACTGTAAATAGTTGGTAACCATAACAACAGACAGCAGCTAACTAGTGGATTAAATATTTGTGCGCCCTTTAAATTAAAGGTGGCCATTGTCTTGCAAAGCGGATAAGATAGCACTGTTTGCTTTATTATCTTAGCTGTCCTGAAGATTAATTGGGGAATCTGTGAATTATTCGCACTTACCACAGCACCTCAGCACAAACCGGTCCATCGTACATTGATCTATCAACTTCAGCCCCACTTCTAGTCTGGCCGGGTTTAGGGCGCGACGTAAATTTCATCACGTATAATAACGGCATGAAAATTAAACACATCAGACTATGCGACGTGTTTGAAATTTTCCCTGTAGATTTAAACGTAGCTCAGTGTTGCACTAATGATACAGTTGGAGATTTGAAGGATACGCAATGTCCGGACAGGCAAGTGTTGACAAGCTTTCAGAAGCCCCGGCGTCCTGTCGCGCTCAGCCGGTAACTTAAGCTACATTATCACGAAATATATGCGCATATTTTATACGGACCATGATGTCTGAAGAAACTGCATAGCTTAACTCAAACTTACTTAAATATAAGTTATGTGGAGTTGGTGAAGAGGTGACGAGGTTTGTTGGAGGGGTGAAGGTAGCGAACCGTAACAACTGGTGTCATGGTATTCGTATCTGTTGAAGTTAGCTCTCTCCCCCCGTACAAGTGCTCAATATATAATAATTTGAAGGTACTAGTACTGACTTTGCGGATAATTTGAAGATAGTTGCGAGCTGTCAAACCAGTAGTAAGGCAGTGAGTTTCCGTTATACTGGAGAAGACCTAGCAGTTGATGTTGTTAATGGAGAGGGAGGATTCCTGACAAAGTTGAAGGTTAAAATAGAATGTCCGTCATCTGTGGTAGTAGGTCTTGAAAGGTTGTCCACATTGTTGGTTGGAGGTTGAGCAGTTACATCAGATGTCGTTACCAATTAAGCAAGTACTAACTATGCTAATTAAAAGTACTAATTATGCTAATTACAAGCTCTCATGAATAACTACAGGCTCTTCTAATTATGTGGTACCTATAAACTCTGTGAAAAGGTTAGGGGTTCAAACCTGTGTTCTGCCATGTGTTTTCCTGATTTATTATCAGGGCTACACAATAAATCTTAATCTGTATAACACACGTACTTCTTAATTGGGAACCTAGAGACATCCACCAGTGACATCATGACCTTAGCCACAGCATCATATACGCATTTACACACACTTTCTTCGTGTAAAATAATCCAACTGTAGAGTTTTGTCTGGAGATAAACTCTGCATGTTGAGGGAGTCAAGCATTTTTGAATGGGCATTCATTGGCAGTGCATACTCAAAGCGGTGTTTAAAGAAACCGTGGCTTTTAAGAATACTAGCAGTGTTTAAGGAAAGGTTAGATCTTATGATAGCATTATAATATAACACCAATTATATTATCAGTATATCTGCTGTATCGTCTAGATCAATTGAGAGTGTTAAACTAAGGGCGTGGTCCGGTGTGGTTAAAGTGTTGTTCTTGTGTAGGGGCGCCCTCGGTGCCCACTTGGTGTGCATTGATTGAGTGGGTTTGAAGATGCCCACACCACTCCATGCATGTTAATAGTTGTTCTAATGAGATGTACACTATAATGGTTTTAATTTGATGTTTAACCAACACTCATTACAAATGTGAACATGTCTAAGCATGCCCTTGTTTAGGAGCCCAATTATCTGGTGCTTAGAAATTATTTTGATCAGAATATTCGAGAGCTTTAACCAGAATCACTGAGAGAGCAGTAATTTACGAGATGTAAGATATACAGTTAAGTGATTAGTATATTATAATATAGGGTTGCCATTTTAACATTAAACGTGTAACTGTTTTCCTAGAAGCAAACAAGTGGCTTACAATTGGTCAATTTTTGATGCTCCAATTTATTAAGTAAAGCAACGCTTTATGTTCTAGTTAAATAGTTGAGCTCCAACATTAGACAACTTTCTCTCTCTCTTTCTCTCTCTCTCTCTCCCTCTCTCTCTCTCTCTCTCTCTCTCTCTCTCTCTCTCTCTCTCTCTCTCTCTCTCTCTCTCTCTCTCTCTCTCTCTCTCTCTCTCTCTCTCTCTCTCTCTCTTCTTTTTTTTGGTGCAGCACCTACTGACTTGACTCGTGAGAGCAAGCTACTCAATAATACCAAAAAGCCCTACTGAGGCCCAGATGCTTGCAACACAATCTCAATAAAGAAACATATGGTACCAATGCAATGCTTAGCAATGGCAGTTGAGATGGGGCGCCCCTCCGAAGATTGACTACCTGAGTGATTAGAAAAGAACCGATCTCGCCCCAATGGCATGCTCCTTAGTTGTGTTGCCACTTGCCACGGTGGTGCTGGGGAGATCGCTGGTATGAGTTAGGAATGTTTGGAAATGTACACATTAGTTGGTGTGACTACAAGACTCACTTAGACTCAGTTAATCCTGCCCATTTGTTCACAGTGGATCCAACAAAGCAGGGAAAATTCTCACGGTCTTCACCCGACCCGAGGTGCTCCCCCCGTCACGTGATAGTTGATACGTCTAGAGCTATTAGAATTACTCTAGCTATTAAGTAGCCTAGATATCAACCACTAGTACATAATAATATTTAACACTCCTGCAGTCTAATGAACGATAATCATTTCTTTATCATTATATGCAGTGAAGTCCGTGCGTCACTTCACCCGAGCTCCAAGGTTTCTAACCCACTAAAGTTTATAACCCACGTCAAAAGTGAAAGTTTCCTAACTCCTAGATACTGTTCGAGCCACCTTGCTTTAATCAAGTAGAGTGTTTAAAGACTGAGATTAAATGCTAGCTTGTGGAGGTAGATTAGAGAGTCCCTAGCAATAAAGTATCTGCTGATTTAGTCATTTTACCCAAAACGTAACGCGTGATAACAATCTATCCCCATTACCCCAGCACTTCCACTTTCAGTACCCATATTTAATATATCTCATACTAGTAGTATGTTATTTAGTAAGTTGATAAAACTGTATTTTAGTTAAGGTAATGTATTGAGGAGGGTGGTAGTATTACTACCACCCTCCTCAATACATTACCTTAACTAAAATACAGTTTTATCAACTTACTAAATAACAACTTCCCGAACCATTTAAGGTTCTTTAAATAACCAACTTTTTACGAATTAAATACCTATACATTTTATTATATGTACTATATATTTATTCTCAGGACGAGCCGTGTCAAAACGGAGGCGAATGTTTCAACACCATCGGAGATTTCTATTGCACGTGCAAACCAGGATTTGGAGGAACCTTCTGTCAGACCAACGAGGACGAATGCGCAACAGAACCGTGCAGAAATGGAGGGTCTTGTACTGACGGAGTGAACAGCTACACATGTACTTGTCAACCAGGTCAGTGAATATAAGCTTTATTACCGCATTTTACCGCACTAGCTATGTGGGTTTTATAGCTTTATGCGGCAGTGCTTGGATATAGTGACTCACTATTAGTGATCACGTTAGTAGTGACTATTAGTGACCATGTAAGTAGTGATCTTGTTAATAATGAGCATCTTAATTAGCATCACAGTAATTGTGAGTACCCGGTACACTTAAAATCCAGTCTTACGTCACTGATGTTAAGAGGGATATTCTGCAAATATTTATGTCAATAGTTATTAGTTTTAATTTGGATTCTCCCGGTTTTGACAGGAATATCCTTTTGGGGCTTGGGAAATGGGCGGTAGGGTATCTTTCTGGAATGCACTGGAAACCCTGCAAGCTGTTAAAGATGTTGATCGTGGGAAAATTCAGCCGAAGTACCCCTTGGGTGTAATTATTTTGAACCAAAATAGTAAAACAATTTGATGTTCTTGTGATATGGAGAGATTTGAAACTTTATAAAGTCTAGCATGGTCAGACTATCCGACTTTATTTTGAAATCCAATACACTAAGTAAAATAAATACTTATTACTTGGTTTAGTTCAGTATGCTAAGCTCACGGCACACAGTGAGTATCGTATGTATTAACTCAAAGTAGAGGCTATAGTGTCAAAAGTGTTTAAACATAAAAGGAAAACCCTATTATATGGTTAGCCTGGGAACACAACAATTGGTCTGTACGGGCAAGCGGGGTGCAGGCGGACTGGCGCCGCCTCATATCACGGCACGTCACGCGACTTTACTGATGACGTCACACCACGTGACTGGTGACGTAATAGCGCGTTAAACGCGTCCCCTGGGGTCGTGACGTCGGTGTGAAGCACCGTGGCGGCAATTTTTAGTCGTGATACGTTGTCCGCATTCATCACGCATCATTTAAGAGAGGCCATCCTCATAAAATCAATGTACAGGGCAGCTCAATATTTTAGATATTATATTTCTTTCCTAGCAGAAGCTTGATTAGATGCAAGCGTGAGGACGGCCAAAGGTCACATATGTTGGCAACATAATGCCGTATCGCACGGGGGAATCCTCGAGACGTTACATGAGAATTGACGTTACATGTTGGTCAGACAGATAAGTTGCCGCCAATACAATAATAATATCATCCCATTATCAGTAAAGAATATTATAAAGGAGCGCCATCTTAGTGTAACTTGAGGAGTGACGTGTCTGTGTGCGTTGTAACACCACGTGTTACTTCTTTACATTCTCCAGGAAGTCTTACCCACTACGTAGGTGTTTTATTAGGACTTGACCTTTTTTTGAAGATTGTTTGGATTAAAATCGAGTGGAGAATTATGAAGGCTTATCTTCTCTTCCAGAGAAATAGAATACTCCAGCTGACGCATCTCGTCTCCTACATGATATTTATTTTAAACTATAACAATACCCTACTCTACGAAATCATTTTATCAAGACTCCGCTAGTTACCACTGGACCGTCACGTGACCTTTCTCAACCAATCAGAAGCATTGTTTGTAATGAAGCGGCCAATCAGCTGTTCTGTTTGTAATGGCGGGCTATTAGCCAGACCAATAGATCGCATAGTCAGCTGATCACAGTGTCCAATAGCTGCTCCTCAACTAATGTGTAGATAATATCGCCAATAAGGGGCTCCAGATTGGAGTATTTGTTAGTGGGGAATGGAAAGTGGAAAGCGTGGGAAGAAATGTCAGATTTGATGATTTGTCGTCTGTGTGGAGGGCGGGGGCGCTGATGATTTATCAGTGTGTTCCTTTGGAGGTTGGGAATTTAAAGTTCAATGTTAAGAAGAATGTAGAATGTATTGGGGACAGGGTTTCACTTACAGCAATAGGAAAAACCATGATTTTTTAACGTTACAGTCAGAATCATTGTCATTGAACCCATATTAAATCTGTGAGTCTTCTAAGAGAGTAAGAGTTTAGAGATTAGAACAGATTGAAGTATACAAAAGTATGAAGAACTCTTATGGAAGATCTCGTCTCGCAAGGAATAATACTTATGAAGGAGCAATACTTATGATATATCATATGTGATTGTTTTGGTGACAGGATCTCTGAAAGCAGGTCAGGTGACCACAGGAAAACCTCCCTCTGTCTCCTCGGCCTTTATAGAACTTCTCCTCCCATCGTACTTCCTGACTCGGATCAAACTACATAACACATCCCAGCCATCCTCCTCCACACACAACAATATTATGCTCATATATGCTAATATCACGGTCATACGATTGTAGGGTCACGTGACAGGGTGAAAGTACCCCGGAAGTTCAGCACTACTGTGTCATACTAACACTCTGAGGTCACACTCCGTGACGGACAGGATCCCGTTTGTTTCAGCTACAGTTACTGAAACCGTACACTTCAAAGCTATCCAACACACACTCCTGACTGTCTAATAAAATGTTTTGTCTCCGATCTCGAGACTAACCTGCCGGTTCAATACACTCTAGTGCTCACACTGCTTGGTATCCAGATAAATCCTAATTTATCAAGAGAGTTGGGGCATGATTGGACCATGTTAATTTCGCAAGTCAACTCCAAGAAGTCTTGCAAGTGAAGCTGCTACTTCACCCCACAGTAACCAGCCAATACACGAGCCGGTCCACCCTGTTTAACCAATCACATTTACCCACCATTTGGCAGTGGTTTGAGTTGGAGCACTTGTTGTAGTTCCCCCCGATCTATGTCGTAGGGTTTCAGCTCTCTTGGAATTTACCAGTCACGTCGTGTATGAATTATGATTAGAATAAAGTTGGGGGAAGTGTCGATATAATGTATAGAGCGAATGGTTGAGCCTCCCGAATTTGGCGCTCCACACTGTGTAGCCAAATACGAATGTCAACCACCTATAATGTGAATCTTGGTGAAGAGTGGCATGGCATAAACAGTTCACAATTCTTGGATCCGCCTGCCCCGGTTAAAATCTGTGTAGCATTCCGTCTGCCATAAAAGCTCATGGTAATGAACTGTCTTCTGTTATAGTTACACTTACCACCGAGTTGTGTAAGTTAGCTTTGCAGTGTAGACGACTGCAGAGCAGTATTCTCTTGATAGAAAATACTGTGAGGATGTGTATATGTGCGGTAATACATACCACCCCCCATAATATGATGTGCTGAACACGACCGGTACTACTGTTATATTGAATTTTTATTCCCTCCCAATTCAATCAAGTGTAATGTGATAGGCCGGGTCAGCACACGCTGGGGCACGCGTCCTGAATACTTAAAAACTTCCTATTTGGGGACGTTGTGTAGATGAGTTTGGCTTTGTGGTCCTGTATCGGGGCCTGTTAGCCCTAAACATGGAGCAATGGCAGTGGTAAGGGATCCATTACAATATGGGAGGTTATTGGATTATGAGGTTTCAGGAGGAGGGTTGTGAGTTGTGAGTGAGTATGAACAGTTAACACATACAATTTCTATCACTGCAATTCTCATCTCTGATGACTGAGACCACAACATAACAATTTAGATCTGATTTCATTATCAAAACAAACATTTACTATAATTTTACTGGGATATGTTTCAGTTAGGGAATGGAATTCGGGATCCATGGTTTTATCACGATCAGTCTTGCGGAACGGTTTCACCCCTACTTAAACAATCATATCTTACATCTCCGGAAATATCACGAAAGTTGTGGCTTTATAAGTTTGTGTGGATGACAGCACAGATTGTGTTGGTAAATTCTTTTACATAGTAGATGATATGTTAATTCGCCATACCGTACGGTCTATTACAAATCCTCTGATCTTACCCCCGCCTCTACGTAAAGCTGATACTTTAAAGTTCCATTACGTTACAAAAAAGAGCTCATCACACACAATATGATAGCAGCTACTAAATAGAAAATTTGAGCAGACAACACCAGCTATGAATATGGTGTTGACTACTCAGTACTCACTAACTGTGATCTTTACTTTTTGAGTAGACAATTAATAGGTCACCTGTGTAAGTTTTGATTTCATATTCAACCTCGATACTGTGCTCTATATAATCAGGGTCACTTAGCTAATTTAATTGAAGCACTTCCCAGAAAGTTTCCGGGAACTTGGCAGTGTCTATATTTAACCGTAATTTACCGCAATTTACCATATATCATGACCCGTAACCTTGTCACTAATCAATAAAACCAAATCACCTCACTTTAATAACCCCCTCCACCCTCTCTAAAAAGGTAAACTCACCCCACATTACATGAGACAGGGTATAACCCCCTCCACCCTCCCTAAAAAGGTAAACTCACCCCACATTACATGAGACAGGGTATAACCCCCTCCACCCTCTCTAAAAAGGTAAACTCACCCCACATTACATGAGACAGGGTATAACCCCCTCCACCCTCTCTAAAAAGGTAAACTCACCCCACATTACATGAGACAGGGTATAACCCCCTCCACCCTCTCTAAAAAGGTAAACTCACCCCACATTACATGAGACAGGGTATAACCCCCTCCACCCTCTCTAAAAAGGTAAACTCACCCCACATTACATGAGACAGGGTATAACCCCCTCCACCCTCCCTAAAAAGGTAAACTCACCCCACATTACATGAGACAGTGTATAACCCCCTCCACCCTCTCTAAAAAGGTAAACTCACCCCACATTACATGAGACAGGGTATAACCCCCTCCACCCTCTCTAAAAAGGTAAACTCACCCCACATTACATGAGACAGGGTATAACCCCCTCCACCCTCTCTGAAAAGGTAAACTCACCCCACATTACATGAGACAGGGTATAACCCCCTCCACCCTCTCTGAAAAGGTAAACTCACCCCACATTACATGAGACAGGGTATAACCCCCTCCACCCTCTCTGAAAAGGTAAACTCACCCCACATTACATGAGACAGGGTATAACCCCCTCCACCCTCTCTAAAAAGGTAAACTCACCCCACATTACATGAGACAGGGTATAACCCCCTCCACCTTCTCTAAAAAGGTAAACTCACCCCACATTACATTAGACAGGGTATAACCCCCTCCACCCTCCCTAAAAAGGTAAACTCACCCCACATTACATGAGACAGGGTATAACCCCCTCCACCCTCTCTAAAAAGGTAAACTCACCCCACATTACATGAGACAGGGTATAACCCCCTCCACCCTCTCTGAAAAGGTAAACTCACCCCACATTACATGAGACAGGGTATAACCCCCTCCACCCTCTCTAAAAAGGTAAACTCACCCCACATTACATGAGACAGGGTATAACCCCCTCCACCCTCTCTAAAAAGGTAAACTCACCCCACATTACATGAGACAGGGTATAACCCCCTCCACCCTCTCTAAAAAGGTAAACTCACCCCACATTACATGAGACAGGGTATAACCCCCTCCACCCTCTCTGAAAAGGTAAACTCACCCCACATTACATGAGACAGGGTATAACCCCCTCCACCCTCTCTAAAAAGGTAAACTCACCCCACATTACATGAGACAGGGTATAACCCCCTCCACCCTCTCTAAAAAGGTAAACTCACCCCACATTACATGAGACAGGGTATAATGTGGCTGATGTTTTATCAGCTCGTACAGCGAGTGTTATGCCATGTGTTTCAGGGTATCAGGTGTCAGGTAACTGCTTTACTGTCCCCCCAAACCCTCCTCCACCTTTATTTGTAAACCTACAGATCCGATCAACAGTTGATGTGTTGCTCTTTATATCGCTCTAAAGTGACTAACTTTAGATGGAAATTGCTGCTATCTTGAGTGAGGTTGTTAGCATAGTTACAGCTATCAAACACATGGGTACAGGGATACATGGTTTGAGTTTTGCTATGTTTAAGTAGTTCAGTAGAGCAATTTGTTTATTGGAAGGCTCTTGACAGCATTATATCGGTACACCCACCAAAACATCTCATTTTAATAGTCTCCCTCGGCCTCTCGCCGGGCTCGCCTGTGATCTGCTGAGAAAGCCATAGACGGACAACTGGACTGGCGAAAACTATTTTAATAGATGCGGTAGATGATCTACCGTAGATCTTAAGCATGTACATAATTCATGCTTGAAAGCATTTGAATATTGGGAAGTGAACAGTTTATGAAATAAAGGTATTAAAAGCGATGTCTTGAAATTTTAATATGTCCTGTAAAGACCAGGCAGTCCGCAGCAGTACAGACTTTAGGTAATACAGATGAATTTAGTTTCAATGAAAACGTGCCCTGAAATCAATGAATCTAGTTTGGTTGCCAGGTATTGATGCTTGCTACTCCATTAAATCGTGCCCACGAGTATTCCTTAAAATAAATTACAAAATATTTATATTTACCATTTATATCCAGGACGTCGTACCACGTGATCCCACTCTAATCCAATCACTGCGGAGCTTCCCAACTCAAATAAAGTGACTTACTTAGTTTGTATCATCTGTTAAAACTCCGATCAAAGGTCATCTGCAAATCATCCTTTTAAACCAATTTTAGTGGCCTTTGAGAGTGTAACTTTGTGAGATTTCCTGCCCGCGAAAGTCTCTAAATTTTACAAAACATGCTGGGGTTATTGTGTTACATGCCGTGTGGAGGAGTAAAGGTGGAAAATCGATACCAAACAATATCCTTGAGCGCCCCTTTCATCCTTTTTAAACGTCCACATCATATGTTTTACCAACCCCGTACTCCTTTGTCCTTAACTGCTCAAAATTGTCGGGAAATTAAATTATTGAACACTTTTAATTCTTGGAAATTCACACATAAATACAATGTGGATATTTAATATTAACTTTTTTTGATACCGCTCCCAACGGTCAAACCCTTTATGGGTAAAGATAAACTGAAATACAATACATAGCATGCAATTGAATAAATGAATAAATCATCTATAAAATGTGTTAATTGAAACTATAATCATAAGCATACTCTCCATAAAGTGGGAAAAACAGCATCAATAGTCCAATGTGCATATTATGTTGTTTAAAATGTAATGTTTATTGTCTCGTGTCTATCCCGGCGTTGTGTGCTAGGAGGCCAAAATCGTCAGTGTGGAGTGAAGATGTCCTCTTCCACGGTGTTCTGGACCCTCTAACTCCGAGAACTGCTGACCGTATCACCTCGAAGGAAAGTTTAGTCCTGATCCAAGAAACAGTCGAAGCATAGCTTTCCATCTGTTTCAAGGCTAGTAGTTCTGCGAGCCACTTCACGAACCTCTGACATTCCTCACCCATTCCTCCGTTTGTTCCTATGATTAGTGGGGTGAAGGTACCATGCTCAACTTCCATCACACGCTCGTTGTATTCCCTCTTCTTATTTTCTTCGTGCTTTTTGAAGATGGAAGCCGTTGATTTGTGTGCTTGGCTCTTTGCATTCACGTGGGTCACCCTGACATCGAAATAGGCGTCCTGACCTTGCCTCCAGAAATTGCGGGCTTTGATATCCAGACGAGCACCTTGTGCTGTATTAGCGGTGCGGTGTTGGAATATCTCCCCTTGTAGATCTGTCAGGTGAGGTTCCGAGCTTACATTACTACAACATCTGTTCAAGAGCCCCGTAAACAGGTTCCTAACGTTGTCATGTCGTTGGCTGACAAAGCCACCCTTCTTGCAATCCAAAGCATGGCTGGTGTTGAATGGTTCCCCACAGACACAGTATGATGGAATATCTGTGATAGGGATATTGTACCTGAGTCGTAAACCGTCTCGGAATTCACTTAATATTAACTTGACAGTCAAAATAGGAGCAATGACAGCAACAACGCTCTTTTTAATCTCAAATATTTAATCAGTTATCAGTGTTTCATGCCAATAGTACCTATAAATATAATCTACTATAATTGTTTTAATATCAAATTAATTTCAGGATTTACCGGTACAAACTGTGAAACAGAGATAAACGAATGTGAAAGTAACACATGTCCAAGATACAGTGTTTGTGTTGACAAAATCAACCATTACCGCTGCATCTGTACCAGCCGTAAGTCACTATTTCTATATTATTTACTGTACCCTTAGAATTTGTTAAGTTGAAAATGTTTAGGTTTTTATCCTTTGAAGAGTTGACAGTCACCAGAATCTTCTCTCACGATTACTCTCTTATTACTCTCTTATCACACATCTCTTTAAACTGTATTCCTGCAGCGGACGAAAACCGAGGAAACTGTGAAATAGACGAAGACGAGTGTACTGCTAATCTCTGTAAAAACGGTGGCAAATGTATCGACCTTCCTGGTGATTTCAGGTGGGTTGCTATGGATACCAGAGTATAATGTAGACCACGTGACTAGTGTGTGTAGCCCACGTGATCAGGTATATAGATCACGTGATCAGGTATATACTATACAGTATATTATAGATCATGTACCCTTCATCCTGCAAATAGCTATTATTTGAAATATACTTGCTCAACCTATATACGGTATCGAAGTACGTGATATAATGCACGTAACAGCTACCCTGGTATTTCAATAGTAGTGAGCGTGCGACCGTGGCTTGTAGTGACATGGGGGTGAAGTGGTAGTCGGTATTATTAAAAAAGAGCTGGCATTGTTAACCGTCTGGAATAAATCACAAGATTGTTTCGTGTCGTTTGTCACGTGATTAGGTCGACCAATCATAACAATCAAATATTGACGAAATTTTCTCTCTGAACCAGTAACCATTGCTTTTATGGATAATTGGAAAGGTACAAGGCTGAGGAATGCTCCTTGTTCAGGATATCGGGTGAAAATAACAAAAACAATTCAAAGTTTAGTTCGTCCTATTGTTAGGACATGAGTCCATTGCTCCTTCCAGTTAAAATAATAAGTCTGAATCTGCAAGCGTCTAGACTGTATTGTTTCTGGATAAAGCAACATTTATTTTGTGATGGTTTAGATTTTATTATCTCAGTGAAACCTCTGTGGTAAGCATCAAAATATTTCAAACAGTATAATACAGTGTAGATAAGGATGAACTCAATACTGGGGAATTGGAAGCGAAGTTATTTTGAAATGCGATAACGTGACACTGATTAACTGTTAATGGAATAATTATTGCCCAAAGGGATTTATCGCACACAAGATAATTATAAACACTGCCAAAATTTGGCTCCAGTCACTGACTTTGGTCATTTTAATAGGCGCACATCTGTCATATGGCTGCATGTCAGTTTACTGTGCAATAAACCAATATCTGTCACTCGCACGTGTAAAATTGTGATTCATTTATTAGTCTGACGATTTGATTGAACTTTAATGAAAACCAAACTTTATGCAGTCAATACTTTATGCAGTCAATACTTAATTAAATTAGTATTTCTCGTTTTCAGATGCGACTGCCCGAATGGTTACAGTGGTGATACGTGTCAGTTTGACGATACAGCATGCGGGGTGAAACCCTGTAAACATGGCGATTGCTACTTTAAAGACGGTAACCTGGACGAACATTACTGCGTCTGCGAGTCAGGATACACTGGTTAGTAATGTCAATTTATAAAATGGTAATGAATCATCTTTTCGGACGTATTCCATCATTTTTTATTGGTAATTCTTTATGTTAAATATGGGGTGAAGTGCCTTGTCACTAGCTTATGAAAATCTAACACCATGTTTCCAGGGGGTGACTGCAGTATCGATATAGACGACTGTCAGGTTGGGCCGTGTCAGAACGATGCTACTTGTATCGACCAACTGGACGACTACTTTTGTGACTGTCCCGCTGGTAAGTCACCTTATCACGTGACTTTGTTACTTTCTTCTTTTCATTCGATCCGGAGATTCTGTACACATCTTAGAGATGAGTTTATTATAATTTTAGTTGGTTGTTGTAAAGGTATACAAGCTGCAGTATATTCCGAGTATCCAAAGAGATTATCACATATAAAGACATCCCCACTTGAGCGATGTTAAATAGGAGCCTGTTAAATGACGTGGTTCCAGAGAGAATTACAGTTCCAATACCACTACTATTGGTAGTCCCGTAACATTGATACACACGTTAAACTCTCCATCACGGGACATAACGTAGCGTCTCCTCATTGGTTAATATTTTGCGTTCTGTCTCCTCATTGGTTAATATTTTGCGTTCTGTCTCCTTATTGGTAGAGAGCTCCACACACGGAAGGACCATACTAGAGGTATTATTTACAAGACCGGTACACATTCCCTATAATACGTGTAGTGGAGGTGGAGAGAGAGGAACACTTGGTCACGTGATGTATCTTCAATAACACGTGATATATCTTCAATATGTGGTGGCACTTAATATTAATATTGGGGTGGTTAGTAAGAGTAGGCACAAGTTCACTGGGGAAGGCAGAATATCATCGTTACAAAGCTACTAGAGAGTATTGGTATCTTATTAACAATTTGGGAAATAGTTTATAATTATGAGACTTATGTAAATTGAGGAAATAAAAGTAGTATTTTTGCTGACTCACGTAGATGATACAATGATCTGACTTAGTCAATGTTATGAATAATATAAATTGTCCGGCTCGAGCGATTCATATTCCAGTATAAGGATAACAGGTCACTATGATCCATAATCTCAGCCCCTTGCAGTCTACTTAACAATAGTTCCCACTTCTCACAACAAACAAGTTTTAGGATTTGTAACGCTAGTCAGCGTTAAAAATGTAGCTTAAGAATATGTGGCTTTTATTTGAGGTGTTATTATGAATATGGGAGGTTTCTAACTAATTAGTATGCACTAGAAACAGACGTGGAATCCCGTGTAAAGCAATGTTACCTGCTTTGAGACGGAGCGTGAACTGATTGATCTTTATCGGGTAAAACACTAAAACAAGGCCGAGGTCAAGTAAAACAGGGTCGGGGTCTCTAAGTCTGCACCTCCTGCCAGGTTCATAAAAATAGGTTGTTTTTGAATCCAGGGAAGGTATGTGTAAGAGTGCATGAAGAATGCAACCTGCTCGCAAAGATACTATTCTCGTGTATTTCAGTACACACTGGAAAGGATTGTGAGCTGGACGCGCGTCACTGCGCCAACAACCCATGTCAGAACGATGGGACCTGCAACTCCGCCGTTCTGAACCCTTTCTACACGTGCACGTGCGAGCGCGGCTACACTGGGGACCGGTGTCAGGAGGAGATCCTGTGCGCAGCTACCAAGTGCGAAAACAAAGGTTTGTTTGATAGTATGTTGCCTGTTAACTGCTAGTTTCTTTGACTATATACAATATTTATAGCTTGATATCTGCGATGGTATTTCGTCCGCAAACATCACAATTCACTATACCACATACGCACAACATCGTTATTCGACTGCAACACAATACTTGTTACAACTTCCTCAGTTTTCCATATATCACGCTAAATTGAACTCTCACTCCTCTCCCCTCAGGCCTTCACTCACCCACATACCGCACATTCCCCTACCTCCAACATGTGCACACAGACCATTATACCTCACCACCACCAACAACAATCACAATTACGATGCTAGGCTTACCTCTCTGCTGACCTCTATGATAAATGATAATACGTTACATAATGGCTGTCTGTTCCCTTTACTTTTGTTTACGCATACTTTACCAAAGTCGTTAGCTCAACGTTACTGGCAACTCTTTAATTGCACAGCTGTTTACTATTCCTGTAAACACTTCACAACTAGCTTCACCCCAGTATTTAAGTTAAAACCCCCGGATTCCCCAGGAAAATGTATAATGCTGGACGAGAGCTCGGACACGTACAAATGTGAATGTAACGAGGGGTACTCCGGACCGCTCTGTGAAACCGAACTGGTACCTTGTGGCAAGGATTTCTGTCACAACGAAGGCACGTGCAACCCAGTACTGAACAGGTGCGAGTGCGCGGGTGGGTGGAAGGGAGAATACTGTAAGGACAAGATGACCTGCAGAGATCGACCCTGCAGAAACGGTGGAACATGTCTCTCCGGACCTTATGGGGTGAGTTAACTTTGCACAGCGATGGTTTCTATATTTAAATATACTTTTTCAATCTGCATATTTTGTGTAACACTTTTAACTTATTGAAATTTTGTTTCCACGTACGGCTGAAATTTTAAAAAGTAAGAATTCCTGAGAATTCTACATGACACGAAGGCTAACAACTTGTTTTCACTTCAGAGTTTCCAATGTAAGTGTCCGGACGGCTACCTGGGCGCACGGTGTGAGATCCCCAACAAAAGGGTCTGCTCCCCCAACCCCTGTCAAAACGGGGGAACCTGCAGCCCCAGTGGGGGCTCCCCCTCCTGTATCTGTCCCTCGGGCTACACGGGCCCACTGTGCGACAAACGGGACTTCTGTCTCCCCAACCCCTGCAAACCAGGACACGTGTGTGAGAACTTCCCAAAAGACACCCCTATGAAGTACCTGTGCTGTGAGGAGACCAGCTGGAGTTGTTACAATGATGACGGGTGTCCTGAAGTGTGCGCTGATTTCCAGGATGATGGTGTTTGTCAGGTTCGTTCTCTTTCATCCTTTTTTTCTGTAGAATTATTTGATTGCGCTCAGATAATAAAACGTTTGTTGTTTATTGGACACAAGTGCGTTTGTGTTTTGCCGCCAAACGTTTGTTATAATCTGATCCACAGCCAGCTGTCCCACAAGGGATAATACGCTTACAATACCAATTTTACCGCATCTCAAAATGTGCTGTATACTAGTACAAATTACTACCACTGTTATTCCGCTTATAATCATGTTGTGATATTGTGACGAGTAAAGGCTATATAATGAAGAATAACTCTTGTATCCTCAGCATGAATGTTACAACTCAGACTGCCAGAATGACCTGTCGGACTGTTCTCAAAACTTGCAGACAAGCCAGGATGTGTGGGCTGACTGCCCCAACACAGAATGTCGGAGTCTTTTCAACAACGGAGTTTGTAATAGAGAGTGCCAGAGTTCGGAGTGCAACTACGATGGCATGGACTGTGTCAACGCTAAAGATACTTGCGAGTAAGTTTTGTGAATTTTAAATTTTGGCAGCTGAGTTTTTGATAAACATAAGTAGGATTGGTTTTCCATTCGTATATTGATGGGAGTAGAATACAGCCGCGTGTTCAGATTTATCATCCTTCAAAAGTTTGGTTCAATTTCTGATAAGAAGCGGAAGTGATTGAAATTCTGCAGAATCCAGAATAATCCAGATCAAGTCGTGAATCAAGTGCTGCACTCTGCTTCGTACTGTGGGAAAATTGATTATCATATACATAAGTGTGCAATAAGATGGACTTGTGTTCTAACCATAACTGCTAAACTTCAGATTACAGAAGTCTCAGTAAAATATCACATAATTTATTCTGTAATTCACTATCGCAACTTTACGAGTGCTGACACGCTATAATCACCTTCAGGTACGAGAAATACTGCAAGACTTATTTCAACAACAACCTCTGTGATCAAGGGTGTAACACCTCCGCGTGCATGTGGGACGGCCAGGACTGTCTACAAGATAACAGTCAACATAAGGTACGTTGTTTCCGTCACCATTTAAACCACCTTGTCAACTTGTCACCTACATTGGCATTTATAGCACCCCATTGCAACATTTTAAAGTCAAAGTTTTCATAGAGATAAAATTTTAAACGTAGAATGATTCCTTTACCGTGGTTCGAAATAAAGCAGGAAAATAAAGTGTTACTTTTTCAGAGGAAAGATGTGATAGTAATGGAATTGGACAATCCCTGCGAGCAAGTCCGAGTGTTCAAGTCACAACTCATCATAACACTGGACTATTGGTCACGTGCTATCGCTATTGTCGAGAGAATTGAACCAGATGATGACGATAAGAATAGGTAATTATGGATTAGTCAATTAATTACTAAATTGATTGAATGTTTAAATTTTCAACCCACTTTGATCGAGGAATATTTTACATGAGCCACCACATTAACAAAAACATTTGCCCAGGTGTAAACTAGATATAAGTTTTGATAACAGATATTGTGGAACTGACTGCAGAACAGCAAATGTAACCACACTCACTAGTTACTTGTGGGCTTGTCTACAATCCAATCATTCCACGTCACCCTTCCCATTTCGGGTTATGGCGATCACATCTGCTAAAAGTGAGTCTATCAGTATTTACGAATTAGATTTATAACGTTAAAAACGCGTACGTAAGATATTTCTATCAAAATCTGTCCAACACATATACAATTCTGGAATATACCCAAAAACACAAATTACAATATCACCTGCACCAGAATTAAAGTTATATTTAAAGCATGTTGAAATTAATCCCATATCTTGTTCTCAGGTAATACCAACACAGGACGCCCAGAGCAGGTTTCAACAGCCATCATTGCAACTATAGCGGTCATAGGACTTCTGCTTCTGGTTGCAGCCGTGGTAAGTTCACTGTTTAATTACTGTATTTCTCTGTATAGTACGGTTTAAGTTTTGTCATAACTTTAGTTATTAGGGGAAAAAAGGACAGCATTCGTCGAAAATAAAGAAGAATATGCTTAATTAATATTAGTTATGTTGCTAAATAGCATAATAGTACTCTTTAACTTCAGATGGTAGGCAGGAACGTGTACAGAGCTCGAGCAAGACTTTGGGAACCTGACGGTTTTAAGACAAACAGAAAGAGGAACATAAAAGATATCAGTAAAATGGGCGACCCAGTTCATCTCAAGTAAGAAGATTATGTTTTGTTAAAATCTTTTAATATTCCCGCGATCGCTTTTCCAGAACAATCTCAATCTGATATACTAAGTCTTATCTGATATTGAGTAAGATTAATAATTATCAGCACTTTGAACACTGTTGTATATTGAATATTTATGAGAGTAAGATAAGGTTAGAGTCTTATCTGATATTGAGTAAGATTAATAATTATCAGCACTTTGAACACTGTTGTATATTGAATATTTATGAGAGTAAGATAAGGTTAGAGTAAGATTGATTAAGACATGCTTTATGATTAAATGCAGTGCTATTTGAGTGCTGTTATGTGTCAATAAAGCATACAGTGTCTAGTGCTTGATAGACTTTGTCTACAGCAAACATTGTCCAGTGTCCACTATTCACGATCATAATCCGTGTCTAACTTTTCTAACAATTGCAGGACCATGCCAAAGCTCTCCGATCAACACAATTTCAACTACTACATGTCTGAAAACATGTCCCAAGTCATGGTTAGTATATTCATGAGCTATTGTTCTTGTCCCAGTTATTTCATAAATTAACTTCAATTGGCCACCAACGCTTCCTTGCAAGTGACCCGCCACACGAATGCGGTTACAAGAGTCAAAATTGCTTATTGCTAGCAAATTTACTCTGATAAAAGTTTCCACATTTTCGCGCCGAAGACGCGCGCATCGCGCCGCGCACACATGCTAGATAGCTACTAGCTTAGATCAGAGCCAATATTCACATATATTCACACATAGCTCGCCATAGTTGGGTAAATGCATCGCTGCACACATCACGGTCCATTTGGTTAAAATACGAGTGACCAATATACTTGGCCAATTCATAATTACTAATGATAATTTAACTACAGGACGTTGACATGGAGCCGATGTACATAATGAGCGGACGATCACACGGTCGATCAGTGTTCGACGAACAAGACGAGACTGCACCCATGATAACACAAGCTGCCTACGAGCTGCGTCAGAGAGACGAGACCTCCTCTCCCGCTACCCAGGCGGAGGAACAGGTTGCTATCGGCCGACCATCTGGGAGAATGGCTTTGGGCAGAGGAGAAACACAGCTTCACGTCATCTGCAGGTACTTATCTTTGAGTTTGAATTTGTAACTGCGTCTTTGTAGATTTTTATCAACATTAAATAAGTTTGGGTATTCAGCACGTCGTTACGATCTTTCAATATCGATAATCCATCTCAGGAACAAGAAAACAGATGAACTGAAACGTGTCTTAGCCCAAGGAAATGTTGATGTAAATATGGCGGATTCGTCTGGTAGAACCCCCTTGTACGCAGCCGTCGGGTCTGATGCTGTGGAAATTGTCGATGTAAGTTAATGGTCATTATAACATAATTGTGAGTTTTTATTTCGGTTCAATTTTCTTGGCTAAACGTATAAACAGTTTTCCACCACTGTTTATATATGTTGACCTGATTTTACCACAGCTAATTAATCCTGTTCTCAGATTTTATTGGAGGTTGAAGGAATCGATCTAGAAAAGGCTATTGTACAGAAGGGCTCAACTCCCCTTATCCTTGCCACAAAGATGGTTTACAACTCGATAGTTGAAAAGTTGCTCAAAGCGAGAGCCCAAGTGAACGCTGTCGACTCATCTGGTCGAACTGCTCTGCATTGGGCGGCCGCTGTATGTAATATGCACGCTATGGAATTACTATTGAGTCACGGAGCGAACAAGGACGCAGAGAGTGTCAAGAAAGAAACCCCGTTATTCCTAGCCTCACGCGAAGGCAAGCTGGAGGCGGTGAAATTCTTAGTGATGCACAACGCCCAGCGTCATCTTGCTGACAGTATGGACCAAACTCCAATCGATGTTGCCAGAGATCACTTACACACAGATATTGAAGGGGTATGTTACAAATTGACCGAGCTTTTGATTTTAAATCACCATCAACACCTCACCCCACTGTTCAGCACTTAGCCCACTTCACAGTAACTCACCTGACTATCACCCGCAGGTACTTCTTACCTGGAACACTGACGGAAACACCGTGTTAAAACAGCAGCACGTTCAATTACCGGGCAGTCTGACGCCGCCTCAATCAGACGACGCAGCGACCGGTTCCCCAAACTCCCTGCCAACTCTGTCACCCTGCGAGAAGGAAGCGTCAGACAGGGACGATAAGAAGAATAGTAAGAGGAAGAAGAAGAAGACGGAGCATAGTAATCCTCAGTCCCACCAAACTGTTTATAATCAGCCAGGTTAGAGGATTATTTTGGCTAATTGTAGAAATCCAAGAGATTGTTGCGTTAATTAATTGGTAAAATTGCCTTGGTTTCCTTGATAGTGTCTGCCCATCCCCAGTATACACTGTACACTGTACATAGTATCTGTTACTGTATAGTAGGAGGCCAATCTGGAATATTGATCAGCTGATTGATATCGTATACAAACTTTAGCTGACTCATCTTAATACACAGGCTATTTATTTAGCTGACTCATCTTAATACACAGGCTATTGGGCTAAGAATCAGTTACATTCACCACCTAACTGGATGTCAACTCAAATGCTATCCCCCGAGAGTTTGACAGGTTCTCCGACATCCACTAGTTTACCCACAGTAAGTATTATTTTATTGTTATGTACCCTATTATATTTACCCTTGTTTGAAAACTCTTGCTCGAAACGAGGCTTCTCGTGTGCGCCCTGCAGTTATCATATATCTGTAATATTAGCTTGAGAACTTATCAAACGTGTGTCAAACTAACAATTAACATATCGCTCCTTGAGATATTGTATTTTTATTTCAATAAAATAACAGGATTTATTTTCAGACTTGTGACCCCAACGTTCCATCGTCAGAATCCCACCAGAGATTAACACACTACCCGCTACACGCGGGATACCCCCTCGACAACCCCCAATCTTACATACCCCATGATCACCTCCTCTCCCAACACCGCCCCAATAATAACAGGTGGGAATCATTCGGAGAGTTAGACCTGGGACACACATCTGGACAAGTCAAACCGGGACACACATCTGGACAAGTCAAACCGGGACAGACATCTGGACAAGTCAAACAGGGACAGACATCTAGACAAATCAAACCGGGACAATCTTCTGGAAAATTTGATCCTCCGACCACGACCCAGACATTAGAAAGAATTGGTCTGTATCCTCGGTTGGACTGCAATACTCATCACAACCCTGACATTGACAACGACTTTTTTAACAGAGGTAGTCAAACTCAAAATTTAGAGACGCGAAGAAATTGCCGTCTTACCCAGAAACCGACATACCACACTCCTGATGCGCCGTTAAGAACTGATTTACTGATTAATTGGACTAACTTGACAGATAACACAAGTAAAAAACTGATGAGATTATATATATATATATATATCATATTATTTGTCAATGACATTCCTGGGTCCTTTGCGACTGAAATTTGTCACGATATTAAAGCTTTCATCGAGTGATGATCAAATCGCTTCAAACACTTAAAAAATTATCTAAGTTCACTATTAAGTGATCACTTAATTACTTAATCACTAAATTAATTTCTTATCGTTCCCCAGGCAGTACTCCCACCATCCCTCTCATCAGTTAGACTACCACTCGTCGCCCGACAGTCCAGAGGAAACGTGGCAGATCACATCTCCGCCTAACTCTGATTGGTCCCACACATCCCCTTAGTAACCAAATAGGACGACCCCGCCACGTTGGTCGTCCTAGAGATAAAACTTGTAGGTCACGCGTTAGCCAGCACGCGTGACATCGTTCAATTGCAACTGTGTGTGCACTTAAAATGTAAAGACTGAAGACGATCTTTCTTTATTTCTCTAATACTCTGTCGCGTGCGCGGCGCGAGCAGACCGCGTTAAATCATCTGTTGTCATGGAAACGTTCGAACGGAAACTTATTGAACTGCTATATAATAATGGTACACATCTCCCGGGATGTTTTGCTTTTATTTCTACTGTATTTGTGTTTATGTATTAAATGGTTCTTGATTAAGAAAGCATTTGGAGGGTCCACTGAACCGCTCGCTTTCTTTTAAAACCTCTTACTTCTACGACCTGCCTAGTTCATACCTGCCCCATTTATCTCCTAAATGGCAAGACAATCTTATGCCCAAATTAAGGCAGGAAGCATTAACAATCACAGTGCTTTTATTTCTGTTAACAGGTTAATATTAAATGATCAAGTTTTGGTATAATTTTACCGTTATGATATTTCGCGAGTTGTGGGTAGATTAAAAAATCTACATTAAATATATACGTGAAAACGTGGATTCGAAACTCTCTAGCTATTTGATAACCTGGACCTAATTAAATCGACCAAATATTATTTTAATTTATTTAATTCCCAGCAAAATTATTTGGAACGTTTTGATTACTACAGTCGTAGAGGCAGTTTTTATAATATTTTATCAGATCGTTGGCAATCGTATAACCTGCAATCGCCAGACTTTTCTCTTTTAACTTTTAAATATAGTTGGATACAATGACTTGTTTTGACTACGAAAAGGTAAAGGCCAATAGATCTTGGTCATCGAGTTTCGCCAAACTTGATGGCAAACTAAGTTTGATTTCGGAGAAAATACAACCGCTGATCAGTCGTAGTCAAAATTCAAATAAGTCGTTTTATCCACCACCCCCAATTCAACCCAATATATCTGAAGATTTGTGAACTTATTTTTACCTTATGAGTAAAAGTCACCTATTTCGAACTAAATTTAGGGGTCTATAGGATTAATGATTGCAGTTTGTATAGCCCATAAATTCTTTTTTATTGAAGATTATAAGAACTTGATACTGTTTTGTTGAAAGTAGGCAATAAAACACTTTTATTTATATAATGATTAACTACCGGTCTTCACAAGACACCAGCGTTTCGCCGGTCTCTGTCTGATAACATTTAATGTTAACGTGTGTACACTGTATGATGTAAATAATTTTGTTGCAGAAATAACCCCTCTCACTTGTTTGGCAGTGAAGTTCAGCAAAAGTTAAATTTTGTCGTGATTTTTGTCTACACCTGAAAGTGTGACCTTCTGTAATTATGACCCAGCATGGAGCTGTTTCCGCTGTAATGGTACTTCATGACTTTTCACTGATAAAGACGGAAGATGATTAATCATTCTACAGTCGTGTTCATGTTACTAAATTTGACTCACTGTGGCAGATTAATGATTAGAATTATAACGCTATAAAAAGCCAAACATCTAAAAATACAACTCCTTGCTCTGAACGGAAAATGTCACGTCATCGAACGGGTTTTTATCACATATAATATATATTGGGTGGTTTATTCCGGAAATGTCGCAAGAATTAGAAGTAAATTGATTAAACTGCCGGGGATAGCTGCACTTTGTATTCCTCTCTGACTCGTGCACTCCGGCAAGAGCGGCCTTTTTGCTTTTGCGGCGACTTCGCGCGCGATCAAAAGGGGTCGGGTTGCAGCGTGTGTCAAGCCGGGGGATCTTTTTTCAATAGTAATAGTATGGTCAAGGGTGTCCGTGTAGTTCATAGTCTTGGCACTGGCAGTCAAATGTAAACTAACATGACAGTCACATAACAGTAGCCCAACGCTTACTGGGCCGCGCTCAGCCTGTCATTCCGCCAAATGTTAATGAACATAATAGCCTGGGGTCCTCAGGTAACCCAACGCGAGCTAGATTACCAGGGGACCTCATCAGGCTTAGATTTACCTGGGGACCCCAGGCTATTATGTTCATGAATAAAAATTCGGCGCAATGACAGGCTGAGCGCCGCCCAGTAAGCTTAGATGTCTAAAAGTTTAATTGACGATGTCAATTCATCGCAGCTCGGCGAGGCGCAGTAGCGCATTTCACCGATCTAGTGGTTGCAAGAAGCATAATTGAGTGCGCGGCGTGCGCGCCCCATTAACTCATCGCGCTACAATACACAATTGACAATTAAACCATCAAGATTCTAAAAGGACTTCGTAGCACATTTCGAGAAGAAAGCGGCGCGCGCTACTTTGAAGAAATTAATTAGACGAGAAACATCAGTATTCTCAGAAAAGGAAGTAAGTCCAATTTTTCGAAATATGGCAATATTGGTATCAAAATTTCCAGCAGGAAATTCTCTACAACTTGGAGGACTTCGCCGCTTCGACGCGCCGCGCAAACTAGCATTCTTGCTTCGCATCGACGATCGTTGCTCTGCTTCGCAGAGCAACGATCTCGACGGATTGACATCGTCAATCAACTCTACAACATGAGCTACATATTAATGTATGGAAACGTTGTTGCATGCAATTCTCAAGGAAGTAAGTCCCAGTTGAGAAACAATATGTTCGGTTTTAGCCAATTATTTTCTGAGAGAAGGACGTTAGTCCGAACTTACTTCCTTTTCTGAGAAAATCTTGAACATTTTCTGAGATAAGGAAGTAAGTCCATGGACTTACTTCTTTTTCTGAGATAAATTATCTTTGTCATACGTTGTTTGACCCGCCGCGCACGAGTGCGCAGCTCCCCCTGTATCGTCACCATAGTTGATAGTGAAACGACCGTGGGGGTTGACGGATGTTACTCGTCTAAATTTCTTCGAAGTAGCGCGCGCCGCTTTCTTCTCGAAATATTGGCCCGATAGCAAGTGCTACGATGTAGCGCGCGCCGGGCCAGACCATTAACAATGGTCAACCGTGGGGGTCGCAACGTGACACAAGGGCTCCCGTCGGTCGAAAACAACTTGCAACTAAAATCATTGTATATTTGAACACTAATTACAAATTTATATCCTATATATAGAGATGGTATGAATAATTGATAATGATTGATGATCAATAACTAAATTCTACACTCGACTGCATCACAAAATTTTTTCTAACAGGTTCTAAGTTCTTTAATAATTGACGATGTCAATCCTTCGCATTGTAATTGATTGCGATAAGTATTATTTGATACACGGCAGAAAAGCTCCTCTCCAAAAAATCTTTCAAAATGACTTACTGACTGACTTGACTCAAGAAAACAACAATTTTCAAGAAAAAAGGCTTACAACGGGTAGTGTTCCCGAGATCCATTGATAACAGATCTCCGCAGCTTTCTGTCAGCTCCATCAGTCTAGCTATCTCATCTATCGACTTCAGCCCAGTATCTGCTTTTAGGTTATCTAGTAATGTTAAGTAAGGTCGCCCCTTGTTTGTATGCCTATGACTCGGCTTCCAGAGGATCAGTTTGTTCAATGTCAGCTCCGGATGTCGATGAGCATGACCTGCAAGTCTGAGCCTTCGTTGGGTTATCTTGGAGCTGACTTTGGGAAGTTCACCTGTTCACCGTCATCTTCCAAAATCTCTTTTTATATTCTAATGATTTCTCGTTTATCAAAGCTTTCCTTGGGTGCAAAATTTGAGTGCCTCAATCGTGTTGTGTGTCATCCTCAGTGACCTTGTATGATGGTCATTCAAGAAAAATTCAGTCAAAACAATGAAATTTGGGTCGCTGACAGCTGAAATTCGACTATTTCCTACTGGTAGGACTTATTCAAAATTTTTATTGCATCTAAGTTTTCTCCAGATATACTACTTCCAGTATCTTGATGGCGACTTGTGACACTCTCACCGATCTCACTGATTGGTCACTGATCAAAATGTCAGTAAAAACTGCGAAAGTTGGGTCAAGGGGACGGCAGAAAAGCTCCTCTTCAAAAATCTTCCAACATCTCTTTTTATATTTTGATGATTTCCCGTTTATCAAAGCTTTCTTTGGGGAAAAGAACTTTGAGTACCTCAATCGTGTCTTGTGCCATCCTCAGTGACCTTGTAAGATGGTTATTCAACAAACATTTAATCAAAACAGTGAAATTTGAGTCGTGGAAAGCTGAAGTTTGAAAATGTCCTACCAGTAGGCAGTAGGATGGACATTCTATCACAGTGGAGTTGCCACCTACGAGTGGTGGCTGAGAGGTGGCGCGCCTGAGAGGTGGCGCGGGTGTATGCAGAGTATGATAATGTCACCCTTGCCGCGGACGCGATAATTCAAACGTAATGAAAGCTAATAGTAAAACAAAATTTTTAGTAAAGTAAAATGTCAGCCGCGACGCAAGGCTGACATTATCATACTCTGCATACACCGCGCCACCTGTCATAGTTTTCTCCAGATATACAGCTTCCAGTGCCTTGATGGTGACTAATAGCTATTTCAGATTTAATCATAATGTTGTTCAGTAATTAACATTTTGTATATTTTTGGACATGATGGTCCTCTTACATACAGTGTCATTTTAATGTCATTTTTGTTTAAATTCTAAATTCTGATACTGTGTTTTTCGGCTTACCAACACCACTTGGAATGATATACTTCCTTTAGGTTCCATAGAAGATAACAATGTTTATGTGGCGTTCTTAGACATAAAATTTTGTTTCGACACCGCAGGCGATCTTCAGACAGACCTCCATGTTAAAGAGACTGATGCTCGCTCTTACCTGTACTTCGGTTCCCACCACCCGAACCATACATTCAGCAGCATAGTCTATAGTGCATGCCTGAGACTCCGGCGAATCATCAATGATAACGACAGACTCCGAAAACAAATTGATGAATTAAAAACCTTTTTCTTCCAATCCAACTACCCTAAAACTATGGTAGATAACATCAGTGAAAAAGTCAAAGGCTTTGAAAGATGCCTCAAACCACTGGACAACTCAAACAGCAGTGTCCTGGTCCCAAAGTCTCCAGAACCAGCAGTCCGCGTTATTTCAACATTTGGCAGCGATCAAGAGTTAGTAGAATCGGTAAAAAGATTGGAACCAGAACTCAGTAGAACCAGGAGCTTCTCAGGATTATCTGGTTCCCATACAAGTGGAAACACCCCAGGCTCCCCAATATCATCTAGAGCCGGTACGTCACGCCCTATCTTCAAATTCGTCAGACGTACTGGAACATCATTTAGAAGGAAGTTAGTCAAAGCAAAACAGTTTGCGGATGACTTAACCCAACCTCACACAAGACCATGTGGGGGCAGACACTGCGGTACCTGTAACATCATATCTCCACATCCATCAATAACAGTCAATGGACAGCGAGCCAAAGCAGTGTCTGGTACATGTGTCAGCTACAATGTTGTATACATCTTCAGTTGCCAACTTTGTAATATGTGTTATGTAGGAAGAACGGTGCAGCCCCTAAGGGCACGAGTAAACGAACATCGCGCCCATTACTACAAACTCATTTCGGACAACACGTTTGTCCCTGAAGAAAACGACGACGGATTCAGCTTGGGTAAACACCTTGTAGAAGTTCATAACATGAAACAACGTGACAATTTCAACCAGGCTTACAAAGTGTCAATTCTCAGTAATAGTAGCCCAAGAACTCTAGAAGTGGATGAACACCGTTATATTCAGAAACTAAGAACTATACGTCCATTGGGGCTCAATGCCGTGGACCCGTTTGGGATTCCATTATTGGATTTATCTTAAAGGTTTTCCATTGCATTGGGGCACAAAAGTTATGTTTTTAAAAATATTCATAGGTATCGTTTTTAGTTGTGTCATTTCATTTCCAATGTTACACTTTGTAGGAACTGATATTAACCGAGTTTCTGATTCAGGATGTTACTGAAGATAGTAATGAAAATGTTTTAACACCTCAGTACTGTGTTTTACTACAGCTCAACCTGCTCAGTCTGACTATTTGGGAATTTAAACTCTTGATACTTCCTTTAGGTTATGGCATCAAAAGAACCTGCCCCACTTAACTTCGTTCACCAGAATGCAATTTTGTGTGAGACTATAAAGAAAGAGCAGAAGCACCAGAAATTGCACAAGGACTATCGTGTTAATCCCTTTAAAAAGAGTAAGTGAAAGTTTTCTGAATATATGGCCTGGTATATCCATTCCCTATCAATTATTATACTATTGCATCACGTATAAAGTGTAGGAATAACACATTGATCTTATGATAATACCTTATGGTGAACTAATCAGTATATATGGCGGTATTATCTTTAGCTTCATATAACTACAATAGAATGTGTCTATGGAATTATAAGCAAAAAATTTGTTTTTTATGTTGAGTATGATGTTACCACCTCTGCTCTGACCTCATGCTAAGATAAGCACACTATGTCCCATCATGGTCAGGATTAAACATGATAATTCGGTCTCATCTATATTTATGGTTTCAATTTCAGTTAACGTTTTGGCTTCCAAACCAAACTCAAATGTAGAGGATGACACTCAGGAGGACGGTAAGTATTATTGTGTAGAACTTTACCACTTCAAACTTTATCTATTCTTCATATCTTTCTGAGAGATAAACATTCAAACATTGAGAGTTTCTAACTGAACCAGCTTATATACGGAAGGGAAGCAGGCTGAATAATGAATGATTAATGATTGAGACGTTTTTCTTATTTTATCCGTATAGTATTGATGGGGCCAAACAGAGGGTATTGGTGTCACCTTCATACGTAGCAAATTCCTTTTGTTAGAAATTGTAATAAAAATGACTGGCTTAAATATACACGACTTGTATAAATAACTATTTGGACCTATGCTCATAAGAGTGTAAATTATGTGTTCACATTTCTTAATTTCAGAACAGTTTATTAACATATTCAAGAAAGCTCGGGAAGTCCCTACAGAGAAGTATGACTATCCTCAAACAGAAAGTCAATCCTATGGCTGGTTTACCACCCCGTTGGTAAGTTCTTAAAGTTAATGACCCACCCTGTAATTTCCCGTGAAATATTACGTATGATTGTTTACAAATATGATCGAGGCTACATAGTTTTTTTTTCTGGGGATAAACAAGAATTTAAAATTTCTTACATTCGGCTACCATTTATTGATCCCTCCCACAGTTTTAGAGTATCTATTTGCTTGATCTCTGACCAAATGAAACAGCTTATAATGGAGCAAAAGTCATGAAAATAAAAGTTATGTTGCTTTTTTGTCTGTTTTAATGATATGATTATGAAAGTAATAATCAAAGAATATTCAAAAATTCATCATGCCACTACTAAATAATCGACCGATCATTCGATTGAACTTCTCGTAAAATATTATTCTTTTATAAGAAAAAACTAAGTTGCTATGTTAATCAAGCTTTAAGTTTAAAATGCCGTTAAATATTGAAATTATGGGAATAATGTAGAGGAAAATTAATTAAAATTTACATCACCGCTCTGAAATACTTAAAAACAGGCATAATGAAAGTTTTTTAAATACAAAGGAACAAAGTTGGTGCATCACACCTCCTAACCAATAATATGTAATAACCATGTTCCAATTACTCATCACTCATAAGCGCTGACCTTTGACAACTATTCCATGAATACGCCCCCTGAAATGTCCTCGAATAAAGCTTTCGAATAAAAACTGTTAGCTTTCTCGCTATGACCACGGGCCCCCTAGTAGTACTAGTGTTGTAATTAGTTTTAAACTAATTACGACACTACAAATCTATTACATTTATTGAGGACGTTACAGAAGGAATGTATTTAATGTAGTTATTGAGGAGTCCTAACTCTCCTCACGTCCGTAAATGGAGTTTTCTTTGTATCATATATAAATAGAAAGAAGAACAACAGGTCAGGTTTTTAGTATAGACCTAACCCGTCGTTTCTCTTTATATTCCGCTCTCAGTTTTAGCGATTTTAGCGATACAAGTTCGAACTTACTACTAAGTTTTAGTTCAGTCTACCGCTTGGGAGTTTAGCCTTTCTCTAGATAATAAAAACCCGCCCCTAAGATACCGTAAGTTGATCCTAAAACCGTTATGAAGACTGGAAATACTGCTTAGACCACCAGGTAACCCTGGGGCATATTTTGGAATCCCTATTTGTTATTGTTTAAACCCAAGATCTGCCAAACATTAAAAAGCCACTCATTACAAGACGCATACAGGCTTTGCCATTTATAATTGTAAAGGTAAAGGGATTATCACGTGCCATCCTTTCTTAAAGTCACATTTTTATGCTTACCTGATTGGTATCTTTATTCAATGACGCAAAATCGTACGCAGAAAAGCACGATTCGATTGTAAATCATAACATTAAATTATTAAAATTCAATCAAGTAAAATTAAAATTAAAACCAAAACACTAGGTTTAAATTTTCTGAACACTCCAGTCTCCAACGTGAATCAACAGTTTATAAGCACGTGCTTCGTGATAAGGTCACTATTAACACTTACACTCGATATCATTATCAAGATTTTGATTTTCGATCGTTTGTTCACTATAAATATGCTATTATGTTCAATAGCACCATCATACCGACAGTTCTATGTTGCTTATCATGGTTACATAAAAATATAGATAGTTAACTTACTGTCTGTTAAAATGTCTCCAACTGCACTGCTGTCAACTTCTAAAAGAGTTGGATTGGTTGGGTCATCATTTTAGTCTTCTTCCTGTAAAAATAATCGTATGAATTTGAGGGTAAGTGCAACTGAAGTTTTCTTTATTTTTCTTGATGTGACTGTTCTAAGACATTGCCCAAACTTGCTATCAAATTTAGGGTATAAAATATCCCGAATACCAAATCACGGAATAATGAATCTTGCACAAGGTTGGCTTACAAGTTTCAGGCAGTAATTAACAAAGGTGTTCTCTTTGTCGACTGTTATGTACTTACTGAGCTTACTTAAAGGTATATTGTTACATACGACCAGTAAGTGAGTAGTAGCGGTTCTGAATTCAGAAATAACTGTTAGTTGCCTGACATCATATCTTTGTGTTACAATAGAAGGGCACACTCCTTGAGGGTGGTTTTTATTATGCTCATGATATCTTAGTTAAGTTATTTGACGTTGGTCCGTTAGTTCCAAAATTTGTATACCTGGTATTACCTATTACCTGTCCAGCCCTTCATCTGCCTGATATTTTACCTTTATTTACCTAGATGTAGATTGTAGATTGGTATTAAATTTAACTTTTCATTGCCCTCGAGGGCAACCTGTAACCCACGCAACCTGTATCACTGACACAAAGTCTATAATACCACAAACTAAATCAACTATACACTAAATGACATTGAATATTTTGTATATATTAGCAATCGTAACCAACTCTATGTAACCAAATCTAATCGTGCACCAGTCAATATTGTAACACATCTATTGTGGGAGGGCACTAACCCGCTAATTGTACCCTTAGTAGTCCGGTATTATTGTAGAGACCGCCACTGTAGAATCTCCTCCCTGTTATCTCTTTTCCCCAGTCCTCCTGACAGCCATGCCTCCCACTACTAGCGTAGTTAAAGTTCAGAACACCCACACCGTTACACTCTAATATGAAGTGTGTTAATGTGGGGGTAAATGTCCAAACTTTAACTGCACTGCGTGGAACTCCGCTCAGGAGCGTGTAGCCAGCTGAGCAGTCGGTTATCAGGTATTTCCAGGTGTTTGTAAACGGTTCCGTGCACTGGACACTGACATATCCATTCGTTCCATCAAAGAATGTGATGCTAAGTATTATACTGCCTCTTTGAGTGGCTGTCTTTATCTGCGCTTCCTGTCCTGGTTCCAGTGGGTAGACTTTCATGGAATTGCCTGTCTTGGAAATGCCTGGAATAGGATAAGTCATGTGACTAGTTACTAATTCTGGTTTTAACGAATTTTACGGACTTTCTTAGCACTGTAAAACCGAACGTAAGGCTGGTTAAATATTGACTCTCCATTTCTTTTCTGGGAGATCTAAATGCTCCATTCATTATTCGTTTTGCGAAACTTATTTATTGAGATCACGAGGAAATTAAATAAATAGTTAATTAACGGAGATAAGAATACGAAATAGTGAACCAGTGCAGTAGGTATTGTTTTATACTCACTTAATATCATGTCATAAAAAATTTGAAGTTACCTGCTGCAAAGCTTAGCATTGTCACCGTAACAACCCAAATCCTCATTCTAGCGCACGTCTGGGGTTGCCTTTCGGTTAATTAGTTTCATTATAAGATACGACTATAATTATATCAGACCAATCAAACTAAAAAAGGACAATAGTTTTTTTTTTTTTTTAAATCAATAAACTTTCAAATTGTTACACAAATACATCATTTTATTTCAAAGAAAATATCGCCGAATGACCTTACATGCCTTGACAAGTGACCGAGTGTAAACAAAATAAGGGACACCGAAACACCAGTTGACCAGTAAACTGATCATAGCAATTACATCGGGCCCTAAATGCACCTATAAGTGAAGCGATGCTGCAACCAAGGCATGCTAGGTTTATTCCATTGAACTAATAAGGTTACAGCCTAAAATATAAATATAATAAATAACAATGTACCATAAATCATAATTATAAACACACTTTATTTAACATATTTTATTAATTATACTTCATATCAATTTATATTTAGACAATATAGTTACATTAAGGTAAATTGTTTAACTGTCAGAGGATGTTATATGGTCGTTTAGAACTGTCCAGAGGTACTTAATTAAATGGGTTTTAAACACGGATGGCCTTGAGATTTCCCTTAATTCATAAGGGAGTTTATTCCAAAGAATGTGTGCTCTGTAAAAGTAAGACTTAGATATGCCTGAACATCTGGTCTGGCTTGACGTAAGGTTTTGTGGAACTTGAGGAGAAATGTCACTAATCATACTGAGATCGTCTAGATGTGATCGCCTTAACCTACTTCCCATGAAACGTCGTAAGTAAGGTGGAAATGTCACAACTGACATGTCATAAAAAATATTATGAAAATATAATATATCCTTGTAATCAAACCTTACCGAGAGTGGAAGGATATTTAGTTCCTTACACGCTATGAAATACCTTTTTTTGTCCCTAAGGCTCAAGTAAATATCATTAAGGATCCACTTGATACCTCTTTTTTGTATCGATTCAAGTTTCTCCACCGAGGTTTCTGAATGAGGCCGCCAGACAATTGTGCAGTGTTCGAAATGACTTCTAACCTGAGATAGATAGAAGGCCCGACGTTTTTTAGTGTTCTTGGTGAAGTAACATGTTCTTTTTAGAAGGCCTAACCTCTGACTAGCCTTAGAGTATATCATATCACAGTGATGTGACCAATCTAACTTACTATTGATATGTACTCCAAGATCTTTTTCAATGTCTGTGTATTCGATAGCCGTTTCATTCATTGAGTACACAAAATTAACACTACGATTCATAGAATATACTCGGGTAATAGAAAGAACGTGACTTTTTGAAGGGTGAAACACCATCTTATTATGATGAGCCCAATTTTGAAGACTGTTAATATCCTTAGATTAAGCAAAATGGGTCGTTTTAGTAATGACGAAACGAGCTGGTGTGCATTAAAATCGCCAATTTATCTAATATTATCTATGTATTATGCATTTTTCAACGCTACAAAAATGAGAGAGCTCAGAGCATTAGATTGGAATCACAAATTAGAATTAAATAACACCGAAACAAAATATCTATCGATGGACTAATCGATGGACTAATCACCCATTTATATTGTGCACTATCATTTGTAGAGTTATTACGCTTTTATGCTGAATTATATTTGCGAACACTCAACACTTGTTTTATCGGGTGTGGGAAAAAGGGGAACAGAGAGAAAACTGTTAACCATTTGTACTTAGACTAATTTAATTCTATGTCACTTTGAAAAATTAGAAAACCCAACGGATCCTTGAATAAATAGATTATTGGCTTAGCTAATTTGGCTGGTGATACTAGGAAAAGGATTGCCAGATGAAGTGACTAGGTCAAGAACTCCAAATCAGAATATTGTGAGACAATCGCGGTTGATGGTTGAAACCAATTTCAAAACGGAACTCTAATATTTGCACTGAAGTCACTGTTAAATTCTTTCCTAGCCCGCTACCGGTAAATACTCGAAGCGGCCTACGAGTCAGTCCCGACGATATATGTTGTTTTTGTAACGCGCAAGACTATTTTACAGTTTTCTTGGCGCTCTGAAGTAGGTTTCGACGGTTACCATGACTACCTATACTAAACGCGCCGCAAATTGGAATCATCATTTAAGGGGCCATCTACTTAGGACGTCCGGCAAATATATATAGGGAGGGGGGTGGTTTTGGAATTTAGGACAAATCTGGACAGGGGTAGGGGGTGGTTTCTGAAAATCCGGATGATTATTAACAATGAATTTGAGTTGATTTTATTTGTAGTCTTAAAAGTAGCTGGAAATCTGGACGTCCGGGGGAGGGGGAGTGTGGGTTTGAAAATTCGGACACACCCGGACAGGGGTGGTCTGAAAATCTGCGATTTTGGCGGACGTCCTAAGTAAATGGCCACTAACATTTGCGATCTTCAATTTCAGATCGACAGTGACAGGTCAGATATCAGACTACACCACCCAAGAACCATGAGTGAAGTCACCAAGTACATGGATGCCGCCTGGAGACTAAAGGAACAGTCAGAGAATATGCAATGAGAGCGTCCATAGAACTGCTTGAGTAATATTAAAAGGACCGGAAAATTGTAAATACAAATTTAGATGTGCAGCCTCAAAAACTGTTTTCTTGTACTGAAGTGTTATGAATTATGATGTGGATTATCCAGAGTTCAGACTTTTTAATTAATAGTGATGCTCTTGGAATTTATATGCATGTTGAAAGTTTGCTTAGTAGCTATACTAATATATTTTCATTATTTGTTTCGCTACCAATTGAGATAAAAATTTGCAGCTCAGAGTTCAGTTAATTCGTTTTGAATTTCATGCATGAACACTGAATAGATTAAAAGGTAACCCATTAACATCAACAAATATCATCGAATTTAGATTCACAACACCGAAGCCGTTTCATCAAATGAACTGTTTTTGGAATAAGATGGAGATTTTAATAATTATGCATGTGTTTGTAATTTATACAATAAATTAATATAATCATTTAAGAAGATTTAATCTGATGAACAATTTTGAATTCTCACCGCGTATCATAAATAAATAATAATGGGAATAATACTATAATTGATGAGCCGGTTCTCAAATTAAGAACTTATCCTGCGATTAGACCATATAAAATCAATGATATAGCCATTTGTGGGAGGGGGTGGGGCTGGCCAGACGTTTTCTGTACCCTTGAACTGCTCTGAATGCATTTGTTGCAAAAAAATGATTCATATTACTTAACGCGATAATTCGACCGACTATTTAATGGTCATCTCGACTCTCGAGTGACAACGCATTTCTTACTTGAAATATCAACTATGTCTCCTGACTAGTGGCTAATCTGGCTATGCTATTGAATACAGCTGTTTAGTTGCTCAGTTTATTCTTTGGCCTTACTACCATGAGCAAAAGTAAAAAACTGCCATTAAGTAATATAGAGAAACCAGAAAAAGCTTAATGTATTGCTAGGGTTTTAGTGAGGGTATGGTATGGCCTACAGGTAGATTTAGAGGGTTGGGCTGCCTGAATGCTGAGTCAGTTAAACAGCAAAATTGATACACTCTGTCGTGACAGTAAGTGAACCTTTTACCTTTATTAGTAAACTTGAATTTTCTAATACATGGTATGCACATATTACTGCGTGTATCGCTCTTAGTAGTTCACCAAACTTATAAAATGTACGTTGAAGCTCACTTAAATATAGCCAACAAAGTGCATCAGAATCTTGTTACACTCTCTTCTGAATTTTGAGCATTTACATGCGGTCAGCAAATGTCGTAAAGTTTCCTCTGCTGGCATCACCACAATGAAAACAGCTACGCATTCTGCGGAACATATAATTGTATATTAAACAGGAATCTTGTCCTACGGCTAGATCGTAACCATGGTGAGATTACATAATGGAAATTTAATACAGTGGCAAGAATAAGATTTAAAAACCTTATTTCAGAGGCTTTTGTAGCCTTTTCGCATTCTGCACTAATAAACAGGGATTGAAACCCACCACTTACCCTAATCCTAAATAATCGAATTCGTGTTTTACTGACGTGGCATAATCCCTCGGGGAATAATTTTAACCATCTGTCACGGGGGTTGATTCGGAATCAGTGTCCAAAAATATACCGAATAACTCTCATTGTCATCAAAATAGGTAAATTTGTCTCCCACAACTGTAAACTGGCGGTCGGAAGTTGGTTGTAGTTTTAAGTGTGCACCAGGTATAGATACTATTAGTATACTGTGTTTGTTGTTTTAGGAAAACAGTGCACTAACACCCAGCAGTAGGAGGTACTCTGCGACTGTACTTGTACCGTGCACCATTGTTTTGTTTGTTTTTGTTACAGTTTAATACTCTGGTGTCCGTAGCATTAAGGGATCGCACACGTACATATTACGTAAGCACATTTTAATTAAGGGGTCTAAAATACTTAAACTAACTTAGTCTAATTTTTCAACAACATCGGTGTGTAAAAGAGATTAGGAAAGATAAAAGTCAATTAGCACTTTCACCTCCTCCGCGTCCAAGTAAAGAGTGGCGTCCAAGTAAAGAGTGGTGTGTATCTTGTCTCTGCTATTAACAAAGAATATATACCTATCATTTTAAAGAACAAAGATACGAATTTAACAAAGCATTATGGGCAGAGGATGAACGAATAAAGTTGCGGCTAGTTCCTAGGATAACTTACAAAAGTAAGCCCCTGATCGAAAAGTAGCAATTCTCGTGATTTGCTGAGAGATTTAAAAAATTAATTCTCCTTAGACCCCCCAGGGTTGCCATACCACAGAGGCAGGCAGAGAATCCTCATGCTATCCTCTCGTAGACTATTCAGGTCCAACCTATCTTTAAAAAAAGAAAAAATTAATTAATTCATCTCTCTGGGACGCTGATCAATAAATGCATATTATATATAGTAGTTTTCGGAGGTTATTTGTATTTTATAGACCATCATAATATTTACATTCAATATTTGTCGATTGTTTTCACATTTCTCACTATTCATTATTTCATTCCTAGGTGGAAGTGATGTTATTGAAACTTTGGGCGGCCATAAACTCCTGTTTTGAAAGTTTTCCTCTGTACTTGTATCACTGACCCACGCTTTATAGCATTATACATTGCAGCCCATTTTATATTTTTGTTCGATTCGCTGCACACTTGCATATTTGCTATTTTGTAAAAGTTTCGTATCAAATCAAATCAAATCATCGTCACAGCTCGTACAAAGAGAAGGGGGACTGAGTTAATCAATTATACTCAAACTCATAACCCCATCTTCCCATTATAGCAAAGCTTAACTGCTGTCAATGCTGTGATTTGCCATCATGTTATCTCTGTCACATTCAAGAAATCGGTGAACATCTTTCATATTTTGGTTTTTCGCGGGTATGGCGACAACAGTATCATCATATTATTGGTATTAATTAATTACACTAACCGTATTGACCTGAGCTTGCGTTACCTCTCGTTTACTTTCCAGACGGACTGCAAAGTGGGATAATATCTGTAGAAAATTCGGTTACAGAGAAGGGGAATAACATTAATTGCAGCCATTCTTTTCTGTCATCTCACCACAAATAAAATGAATTGCTCGCTACTTTTCCGGATTCAATCGTTCAGCGTGTCTGGTAATCATAGAGGCGTTGAAATAAAGTTTTAGAGTTAGCTTCATGTTCATGTTATGTGTCCAGGTGAACACAGCAGCACTGTTAACTGTGTAAGGTTGATGATAAAGGGAAGTAAAATATAATGACGTAAGATGGATGAGGGGGTCAAAAAGTGGTTCCGCCGAAATTTCCCATCTCCCGGGTTCACATATTGTAGAAGATTCTATAAGAATACGTTTGACATGATCAGTTCTAATAGCTTGGAGGTGACTCTGATAATACCAGAGTATTTGTATTTTGTAATTGTATTACTACTAGCGAGTACTACTAATTGCATCGCGAGCCTCAAATTTTAACACGAACATACCAAATTTACCAGTGAAGGTCATTACAAGCGCCAAGTAATCTAGATTAGATGCGTGCTCCATGATAAAGTTGTACATTGGGTTATGAAAGGCAATGGTATAACGGCCCGGTCGTCCACTGATAAGCCGGGAGGCGTTGCACATGACAAATTCCCACGTCACACCATGCACCCCCATCTCATCACTCTTAACTCAAGGAGAGGATGATCCCTGGATTGGATTGAACTCATCACCCTAGACTCAATACAATTAAGACAATAATTGCACCTTTGTCTTGCCGGACCAAAATAATCCTGGTAATGAGCTCGATGTGTCACTATTCGCAGCATATAAAAGGTGTTTGGTTGGCTGCAGAGGTAATATAATTTTAGAGCACCGCTTTCATGTTCGGGGCCGTGCCAATGTCCTGTCCCTCTTGGGTAACATTAGAGAAGCGGGCCAATGTCCTGTCCCTCCTGGGTAACATTAGAGAAGCGGGCCCCTTTTTCCCTGCTGTCCAAAGCGAGGATTGGCTACCAGATCCAGGAGTGTAGTTAAATACAGTAGTAATACCATACTCCGAAGGAACTTACAGCTCTCGTTATAGTTGCACTGTTGTCGAGAGGACAGTACCATTAAAGTTTGGGCGGAGGAACCACAAACCCTTCCTGCAATTACACTGCTGCCTGCATGGTACGATTAATTTAGTGCCACTGTAGAGAGGCTTATTTTGGAAAGATGCAGTGGTTTTTTGGTTCTTAACTTTTATCAAAATGGGCTTGATATAATGATATAGAGGTAACTTTAAGTTTCCTGAATTTGTTCTCCGTTTTACATTTTGTTCTCCGTGTTTGGATTTTTTGCGTTTCATGACCGTGAATAACCAGTGATTATGGTACCAGTGCCATAAGAAATAAGAGCTATATGACCCCTCCCGGTTATATAATATAGGTATATTTCTAATGTTAGACTCAGGTATCGAAATTCCGGCCGGTAGTACCTTTTAGCCGGGGCCTCAGTAGATTGGTTAGGCTGGTTAGTCTATACCGTATAATATGTGGCTACAAGATAATCAAGTGCAGTATTACAGCTTCCATTGTCGTTACAAGGGGATTGTCAGGAATTATATATGTCAGAGTGACATGTGTAGAGTATAATAGTAAAGTATGGTAGTTATTACTAGAGTAGGTCTGTAGTACTAGTAGTCCATTGTGAGGGATATATTAACACAGTTTTATTGTGGCTTAAAGTAATTCCCGAGAAGTAACGTCACACGACCGGGTCACGCTGCAGTACATATTACATGTGATGGGAATCTTGGTGTGGCTTGCTCTAGATTTGGTTTCTATTTTGCCTGTATTAAAACTAAGTTGTGTTTCAACTTTTCGATATTGAATGAGTGACCAACTGATGCAAGAAATACTAAAAGTGAAACTAAAGCCTTCAAAGTTTTTAGATCTAAAACAGCGTACAATGAGTGATATTATATATTAACCCATTTTAAACAGGTCCTGAGAGCAAAGAATTATTCTTATAAGTTTATTAGAAATAGAGCCATCCGTATAGGAAATCTAATGGGCTAAATTCATAGTTCATACGTCATGAAAACTGTAAACCGCTTTTATGATTATGTACTAAACAGGGTGAATGAACACGGGGTCTAAGCAGTGACAGCAGAATAAAACCAGAACTTGATATGAACGCCTGCTATGTGTTGTTGTAAGTATTGGTTATTTGTCTTGTTTTTTTTGTGAGCATAGGGTCAATTTTTTACTATAAGTTTGGCTCTGAGAATACAATTTTCGATCGTGGTACAATAAAGGGTCGCTCACATATTACGGAATCCCTTTGGGGCCTGGTTTTAATCCCCCGGCCCTTCTGTGATCAGTTTTACACGCAGCTATTGTTTTAAAATTACACTAGCGTTATCATTTTGAAACCCCTCCCTCCCCCTCAGTGATTACACAATATGTGATCTGATAGACCCCTAACTGGTATTTTATCTCAGGGTCGTGACAGTAGTTCTGAACCTGACTCAGGGTCTATCCCTCGCAAAACGTAATGCAATCATCGAGAATACCTCCGAGGAGTAAGTCTCATAAAATTTATTGTATTTTGGGTCTGTTATAGTTATTTGAAAAAGCTATATACCTTTAATGTTGTTTGACTATGGAAGTCCTACCAAAAGAAACCACAATTCATCCCAATAGGCCGTAATCTTTGGTAATGTTCCAGGAACCGTCACAATTAGTTAAACAGATATTTTCTCAGGGGTGGAATGAGAGCAAGCGAAGAACTGCAAACTCCTCTAAGAGGTTTGAGCGAAGAGATGCAGATGCCTTCTCGCGGAGGCGGACTTAGCGAAGAGCTGCAGATGCCTTCTCATGGAAGAGGTCTTAGCGAAGAGATGCAGATGCCTTCTCGTGGAGGAGGTCTTAGCGAAGAGATGCAGATGCCTTCTCGTGGAGGAGGTCTTAGCGAAGAGATGCAGATGCCTTCTCGTGGAGGAGGACTCAGTGAAGACATGCAGATGCCTTCTCGAGGAGGAGGACTCAGTGAAGAAATGCAAACTCCTCTACGAGGAAAAAACACCGAAGAAAACTTTGTACCTCTCAGAAGAATGAGCGAAGAAGTTGATATGGACGATATAGCACTCCGTGAAATGGAAGCACCATGGGAGACATATGACGTCGTTCCCTTCAAGAGCCAAGCATCTGCTAAGAAAAGGTAATGAAGTTATGATTCAGATGCTGGTTAGAGAATGATAACATTTATAAAAATCTATTCAAGGGTTTGATCCTCTTATCTTCGCTGATCTTAGCAATGTACTTTCACATTGCCGGACCTTAATCTGAAATTGATAATAACAGATACAAAACAAAACGAGACAAAATTAGGCACACACGACAAAAACACAGACACAGGAAAAAGAGAGACACGTTAGTTGACAGAAAAGTGGATTTGTTAGCAATATTCAGGCGTGCTCGCCCGTGGTGGACTCCAAGAAATGTGTAAGTATTTTATACTGAACACAGACTGACCATTTAATTGACCCCATCTCAGAACTTTACTACACTGACACATGCGTAACTGAAAACACCGAGTTTCCGCGCACGACAAGTTTAATATTTATTATCTACAGGCCAGCAAGAGGATAGACTACACTCGAGGAAGAATTTCACTACTTTTTAACATCGTAAGTATTGACTATAGATAAGATGAACAATATTTGGCTTGACAAATTGACACGTGACAGCGATTCTGGGATCTTATTGACCAATACTGGAAGCTTGTTGGTTAATCGCAGTCACGTGTCAAAACAAATATGGGTATCAAATTAATTTATCTATGTAATATCTTATGTAATTATGTAATTATGTAATTATGTAATTATGTAATTATGTAATTATGTAATTATGTAATTATGTAATTATGTAATTATGTAATTATGTAATTATGTAATTATGTAATTATGTAATTGGTGACACCAATTGAATTCAGTCGAAAGATAACTTAACAAATTTCAAAGAATTGCCACAAGGTACTATACATTAGATTAACTTAAGCCAAAAAGCCTCAACTAATGAAATTGCGTGATTATAATAACATCAATTCTTCAGGTACGCAGGATGTACGATTAGCACTGTAATATCGCTAGACGCCGACGATTTAGTTTTACTGCTCTATCTCAGTTGCAATGTGGACTTTTAAATATTATATTGTATAGTAATTGAAACATCATTCTTTTATTTTCAATCGCATTTCGTAAACTTTAAAACTTTTTTCATTTCTCTCGATACACATGTACGACTCATAATTTAAACCAAATACGATAAAATGTGTTATCAATCATAAATGTTATGCATCATCAAAATTCCAAACGATTTTGATACGACAAAACGAAATTACGATTCAAGATTACACCTTTAAAGCAAATACATCATCTCAACTAAATCATCTCTTGATCATAATGAACTGATGATAAAAAGCGGAAGATCAAAACAAGCTACGCAGATCAAAATATAAAATTGAATCTCCTAGATTAAATTGAAAATTATCATCAAAACAACGATTTTCTTTTCTTTTTCTTTTTACTTGGTTTCTCCTCCACTATGACGGGCGAAGCACCTCTAGAGCCTTTAGCAGCTGATAATTGTGACCTGTGAGTGAGTCTTGAGTCTCTGGAATCGTTACTCCGAGCACTAACCTGTCTGCTCCTACTCATCATCGATACATTCCATTCAGATGGAATATCCCCGATGTCTTTCAAAGTCGAATCGTTAGAGGTAACAGACGATTGTCGTTTTATGACTTTGGGTTTTTCGTCGCCAGAGTGAAGGGTTGAACCTGATTTGTCTTCGTCTGTTTCATAGATGACGCGACGAGGTCGAGCTTTGGCGACCTCCTCCTGACTCCTGATAGGATCAAGTTTAGGTCTGGAGCTCACTCTACGAGGTTTAGGTTTTGGTGCGGTGTTTAAATCTTTGCTTTTCTTTTTACCTTTCTTCCCTGATTTATGTTTAGATGACGTGGCAGAAACTGGTGTTGGAGATAGGGGAGCTTGATTGTTTCCAAATTGATCGTTTGAGACAAAAACAGAGCGTTTAGTGTCCACTGATTGGAAGTCAAGATCCATTTTCTGCCGGATGAGCTCTAGTTGTTTTTTATCTTGGAATTCTTTCCTGCGTTTTTCTACCATATCAGATTTGATGTCACGGGCTATGTGAGATGGAAAAGCTTTCAAGGCCCCATCTTTTTCGTACACTTCAACCGGACTCCCCTTTCGAGGAGGAACAATTTCTTTTACCTCTTTTCGAGCTGGAATAGGAAGCTTATCATCGGAAAATGTTGCACTTTCTCTCGAGGCAGCTTTCTCTTTGACTTCAAAATTAGCTTTTGTAGATCTGCGGTGATCTTTGGAAGACCGCTCCCTTTTACGGTCTGTATTGGAATCATCCCTAGAGCGATCCCTTCTACGCTCATTTTTTTGATCATCATTGCCTCGAGAGTTCCTGTCTTTCCTGGAATCTCTCCTTGAATGACGTTCTTCTCTCGACTCCCCGTCAGGGCGTGACCTTCGCCTCTCGCGGCGACGCTTCTCTTTAGGCGCATCAGCTTCACTCTTTACACCGGAAGATTCGTCTCTATGTGCTCTGCGCTTTCTTGCAGGAGCATCTTCATTATCAGAGGAAGCTTTACTCGGTCTTCTACGGGGACGGGGGTTCTCCGAATTTTCGCTTTCACGTCTCTCACGGTCTCCCTCGCGTCTTCGTTTTCTTCTCTCTTCCCTCTCTGCCTCTGATTCATCTTTATGTCTCCTTCTTTCTGACCGTTCAGATCTGTCCTTCTTTCGACGGCGCTTGCTTTCAGAGTTCTCCTGCGCATGTTGTTGTCCAGGTATACGGGAACCAGAAGGTGCTCCATTTTTAATGAGAAGATCGCGCTCACTTTCCACCCCTCGAAAATTCATGTGATCTAGAACACCATCATCAAGGTCAAAATAAGACATTCTGTTCTGGACAAGATTCTCATCAACTACTACCCTCGTTGTTTCGTTTCGTAGGTCTTTGTTGGTAATTTTCACTTCTTTGTCAGACTCTTTTTCAGATAGCTCCTTCTTTCTCCTATCTAAAGTGTTTTGAATTTCTTTGATACTTTCAACCTTGTCTCCATCATCTTTTTTCTTGATATCTTCATTCAAGCTTCTGGTGTAGTTAACGATGGGAATTTCTTTTTTCTTTTCTTGTGGTGGCTCTGGAAAAAGCAGAGGGTTGGTGAGATCAGCAAGTAAGTCTTTCTCAACAGGAATATCGTCGATTGATCGATCTTCGATCGGATTAGATTCTATTCTGGTGGGAGATCGCTTCTTCTTCTTTTTACTCTTCTCAGATTTTTCAGCCCTCGCCCTTTTCTTCTTTTCTCGTTTACTTCGGTGTTCATTGATATCGACAGAAATTGTCTGCAGATAATCATCCAGTTGAGTGACTTCTTCGATTTCTTTCTTTAGGTCCCTGCCCTCTGTATCCTCATGATCACTTATAGTTTCGAGGTTTTTGGACGGAATACCACCTACATGCTCATTATATTCTGCAGGTCCGGGAGGTGATGCTGATGGGGGAAGTACATTAGCAAATATGTCCCTCTTTTTCAATGGCATGTTTTCAAACATGTCTTTCTTTTTTAGTGGTGGTACAGGATCTGCTGATACAGGAGCCTCGATGGAAACACTTGGCTCAACATCAGCAAGAGATTTGCGAGCTTTTCGGACTACGCCTTCAGTTTCCGCGTCAGAGCTAGCTTGACGAAAACGGAGCACTTGAGCCTTTTCTGGTTCACGAACTAGAGGACTAATGATAGGTTCAAATGGTTTTTTAATCCCATCTTTTGGAGCACCAAACTTGTTTACAAAAACAGGAGCAAGAGGCTCGGAGATTTGTGACACTGGCATAAGCTGGGTACCGAGATCGAGAAACGATTCTGCAGCATAAAATCTCTCGTCATAGACGTCTATGTCATCTTGTTCGAGTTTGTTCAATTCCTGTGCCTCTCGGATCCTTATCTCTTCGATAACATTTGGTACTTCTTTTTCATCGTCAAAAGGTTCTAACTCGTTCATCCAAGGGTAGATGTTTTCAAACTTCTGCTGATTAAGTCCATGGGACAGCCTCAGCTCTTGTTTTTCAACCTCTTTTTTGTCCTTCTTTTCTTCCTTTTCACGGCGTTTACGTTCTTTCCTCTCGAGAGCCTCACTTTTAGATTCTACAGATTTACCAGATTTAAAAGATGCAAACGAAAACACTGATTGGGAATCAGGGTCTTTCTTTTGCTTCTTCTTTTGCCCAAATCCAAACAGCGATTTTTTGCTCTTTCTACTGACTTGGGATATAGAGTCAGCAAAATCATCTGGCGATGTCGGTGAATATGTTCTCGACTGAGAAATTGGAGGTTGTACTGGTGAAACAGGTTTGTGATGGGGGATAGGCTCTAAAGGTTCTTTTCTGCCTAATGTTTTAGGGAGGGTTTTACCTAGAGTGGCATCTTTGGGGGCCGTCTCGGCATCAATCTCTTCCTGGGACGGCTGATACGGTTCTGGCGGGAGGAACTGTGACTTTCTTATCATGATTCGGTGAAGCTCGTCGGAGTTCTCAACTTCAACGTCGAGACATTGTGAGTTAGAACCGCTGGATTTGGAGGAAAATCCAGCTTCTTCATCGGCCTTAATCACAATAAATTCATCCTTCTTATCTTTTCTCACGTGTTTTTTATTTCTCTCCTTTTTTGGGGTGTAAACATCTTTCTGCAGCTCAGATTCCGGCTCTTCCGAAGGGTGATGGTTTGGATTGGCATATTGATAGTCGTTGGTACAGAAGGGGCAGGCGAAAACAAGAACGGATCTGAATCTTCTAACAAGGGCATCCCATATCGAGCTCATCTAGTGTACACGCCACCACATCTGCCTGCAAAGGAATGGGATAATTTAACATTTAAAATAAGTGTTTTATGGGGAAGGGTTATTATCCACTTCAGAATAATAAGGGCGGAAAATCCTTTTTTGGTTATTTTTGATGTTCAAATGACGGTATTTTCAGTAAATTTTCGCCATCTATCAATATTAAACTGTAGCGCAGAAAGAATAATATAAGAATTTAATTTGTATTCTCCCTGTAGGTTTGATTTCTTCATTTGATTAGCAGATAGATTTTGAGGTAGATACAGATACAAATACATTAGATCTTCACTATTTTCAGAAATAAAAATACCACAAAGGCGTATAACAAACACAATAAAACAATTATTTTGGGTTGAAAGAATCTTCACACGCAGACGAATTAACTCAGTTAGAAAATCCATAAATGCAGAATATCTTCCCCATTCTCCCTTCATGATAAAGGGCACATCCTACAGTCCCAATCATCATAATGTTATGTTCCAACAGATAACCGATCAGTGCCTCCTTGTTAATAATATATTCGTCTGCCAACATTCTGATGACAACAGGGCATCGGCTCATAGACAGAAGCCATTTTCCCGCGCGAAGTTGAACAAAGAAGTCTAAACCAATGCCTGGATCCAGCGCGGCGATGATGTCTCTATGTTCCTCCGCCATAGCCTGGAGATCGATATTCCATAAAATTTGGAACCTGTGGTGATGAAGATGCCGCAGTCTATCGTTGACATAATCAAGTTTCAGCACATTCTGTTGAGCATCATGGTCAACTTCATCCGAACTGCAGTTTAAAGATCCCCCAGCAACCAAAGTAAGCAGAAAGCCAGCAAAGATCAGTAGATAAAGCATGAAATTATGTAAGTGTATTGTGAGGAGCGGTAACACTAAACAGGCAGCTGAGTAGTAAGCGGGTATTGCAACACTGTGATGGAACACTAAACAGCTGTGTCAGAAGTACAGTCACAGATATTTTAAAACAAAGATTTTCTAATCGAATCCAGCTGGTAGAGTTCAATTAACAGGTACTTATGAAGGTACAAGCAGCTGGTGACTGGTTTGTTTTGACATAAAAGTGGTGTTCTTGACTGTAGCTTCCAGTGTGACTTAAAAATAGTTACCAGGGCCACTGAACTTCAGTTACCATGGTGATTTAACGGCAGTTGCCATGGTAATTGGCAGCTGTACTACAGTTGAATCAGACCAACTTTTTAACACTTACAGCTGTTTGTTATAAGGCTCACTATAAATTAACAAGACATAAACGGAAAGCATGTAAAAGCAAAGGAAGTATTTGAATCAAGAAGATGAAAAACAAGATCACAAATACAGTTGATAAAATAAGAAGTGAGAGGATCGCACCAGCTCAACCACTAAATTCTTTATCCAATAAAATAAGTTTCTAACTTTGCCGAACATCAAGGTGCATCATTGTGTGCCTCTTCTTTCTCAGATTTCTGCTCTGTTTCTTCTAATTCTTCTTGTATTGCGTCTTCTTCAATCTTGTTCTCCTCAATCTTGTTCTGATCCTGGCCGTTCTCCTCAATCTTTTTCTCCTCATTCTTGTTCTCCTCGATCTTTTTCTCCTCAATCTTGTTCTGATCCTGGCCGTTCTCCTCATCTTGTCCTCCTCAATCTAGTCCTCCTTAAACTGGTTATCCTCAATCTTGTTCTCCTCGATCGTGTTCTCCTGATTCTCCTCCATTCCTCCCTTCAAATGTTGATCTTTCTCTTCACTATCTTTTTTGTTTTCTTTTTCTATTTCAACTTCTTTCTCCTTATGTCTTCGATTTTTCTTTTTGCTGGATTTATCGCTACTGCTTGAACTGCTTGAACTACTTTTACGTTTTCTAGATTTGTGTTTTTTGCTTTTCTTCTTTTTTGATTTCTTCTTTTTCTTCTTACTTGAACCAGATGAACTAGAACTGCTGGAGCTTGAAGAAGAAGAAGAGGAACGTCTAAATTTTTCCTCTAGAGCGACAAATCCCTCCCGCTTGTTATATCTCCTATATTCAGGAGGCTGTAAAGGCATGCTGTAGACCGCAACAGCTAGGTTTTTATTCACGGCCCGATCCGATTTTCCCTTCCGACTTTTTGAAGGTCTGTGTTTTTTCATCTTGGCAAGATTCTCTTTCATTGCCGCCTCTTTGGCAAATCTTATCCGGGTTGCAAAATCTAACCGATCCGAATGATAAGCACTTCTCCTCGAGGTGTTTGAAGCAACTGACGGGGCTATGCTCGCAAGGTCGTCGTCATCCTGTTTTGTTGGAAGAACGGATGATTTTTCAAGTTTTTCATATTCCTTGTCGTATGTCTCAACTAAATATTCCACCTCTTGTCTCATCCTAGAATCCATGGGACGGACGCCACTCAACCAAGGATGTATAGCGTTCAAATCAATGGGATCAGGTACAACACGGTGTCCTTGTGACCCGTACTGATTCAACTCATTTACAGCCTTCTCAGTCAACTTCTTGTTCTTCATCTTCCCTGAAAACCTGACAAAACCTCTCCGCTGTTTCTTCGGAGGGGCATCTTCGACCGAGAAATCATAACCACGCTCAATTGGGCGTGAGCGGGCGGAATGATAATCATAGTAGTAATAACCGCTGGAGCAGCAGCTGGTGGCTGGAGTAAAGGGAACTGGAGCTGGAGAGCTGACCAGGGTGGGGCAGCAGGTACTGGAAATAGATCTGAACTTGCGTTTTATTGCATTCCACATTCGTAGGGGGACGAGGATTGAAGTGTGAGTAGTCGCTAGGGGCCTGTAAGATTGGAAGTTTAGCAAGAATCGGTAAACCATCGCGTGCTTCTGTAAACTTTCATTAAGTGCTTCATTTGTTCTCAAAATGCTTCCAATCCTGACGATGATGTGCTATATCGGGCATAGTGCTCTGATGAGGTCGGAATTAGGAACCGACCAGTCTGGGGTTTTAGTTGCTGGAGAAAGTGTTAACTCTGTGTTCTGGAGACTGATTTAACATATCATTGAAAATGATCCGAGGTTCGTTTTGAAGTACCTTTTTTGTAAAAGATTGTGTCTGCTGACTGCTGTCTACTGTCTACTGTCCAAAATCATTAACTAATTTGACTGCATTATCAAGATGTCTATAAGTAAACGTCAGCTATTTGTTCTAGGAAGTACGAACATTAACTCAGGAGTTGGTTGAAATACATTTTTCCAATCGGAGAGTTCATTAATATCCGCTCATTGATATCTGTTCAAATTCTTATAATCTTATAATCAGATCTTTAATTGGAAAAGAATTATGTTTAAGATCATCAGTTGAGTTTGACTAAGCTATCGTCCAGGCTTGTAAAGATCTGAGGAGGTAATAACTGTGTGTTGAGCTGCTAATAATGGCTTAAGTAATCTACTTTACTTAAAGGCTGTTTGCATTGAGGTCTAATTATTTACCGTTCAGTCATTTGAAATTTTTAGCTTCATCAAAGCTTTCGAAAGAACCAATATTAAGATTCGATGGCGTAGTTACAAGAGTAGAGCAAAAGTGATATGCAATTGGCATATCAAACTTAACCAGACACTTGCTGGAGAGTGGAGCACGATTGCACGTGTGAGACAGTAGTTCCCGTATTATCATAAAGGTCTCAATACCGGAGCACAGCAGTTCCCCATTTAAGTCACAATAGTTCCCCACCCGTAGGCCGTATTTCATTTTAAAGGAAGTGCTTAATTGGTTTTTAATTTCTATAGAGGTTGAGGAAATGCTAAATGTAGATAAATGAACCGTTTAAAATACATACCTTCCTCCAAGATTGAAGGTTGACTGACTTCAGTTTTCACTCACATACTTTACATTGCTGAGTGAAAATTAACGTTAATTTTTATAACAGCTGGTCACGTGAAAATTATTTGCTGTTTAATGTAAACAAATTACAAGATGAAATCTGAATATTGTAGGACCATTGAGCATGGAAAGTTTAGTTAGTCCAGTAATCAAATTTATTCATCGATCTACTGATTCACAACCATGTATAAGCCTCCGTGGCCTAATGGCTAAGGCATCGGCCTCCTAAGCCGGGGATTGTGGGTTCGAGTCCCGCCGGAGGTTCACTTTTGTGTTCTGGTTTACACAAGATTTAGAAAATTGAAGATTATTAATATTTTATCTCCACAATACAAGGTAAGGAAATGTACAAGAAGTGATGTGTACAAGAAGTGATGATGTAATCCCATATAGTGATCATATCAAATGTCGTATATTATGAAAATATATATGTTATGAACTTCGAAGTCTGGGACTCCATATTTTATCGTTCGTTCAATTAGCTGCATTGATTACAACATAAACCTTTAAAAGCAACAACTCATGATGATAAACTGTTAAGAACTGTTCATAATTGTATCACTTCCGTGAAGTTTAGGCTAGAAAAGTTGGGTTAAATTTCAATGTGTTTATAACCTGGTTTATGGTTTTATGTTTACTTGAAAGTTAACACCGTAAATGTATCTTAATGTACTGATACATCATACATAGTACAAATTGACATCATTTAGTGCATCCACATGGAGAGTTGTTGTGCATTAGAGCGTTATATATAATATGATATTGATACAGTTCAATTCAACACTTCAAGAGGACGAGGTGGCCGAGTGGTTAAGGCGATGGACTGCTAATCCATTGGGCAATGCCCGCGTGGGTTCGAATCCCATCCTCGTCGATTTTTGTCATCATGAACATTGTTTCTATTTGATTCCTTTATACCTCAAATTTATTGATCGTAATGTAATTATTGATCGTAATGTAATTATTGAGCTCTAATTGAACTTACGTTCGTGTCTAACTGTAACTACAGTACGTATGTATCTCATTTGAATAAGCTAGCGGTGCCACAATACAAATTCAGCTGCTTTAATGTTTTATCACTCAGGACTGTAGACATAGTGATGTTGATTTTTATATGGATTGTTATTTACCTGTCCTGATGAACTACGGAAATACTCATTAAAAACTTTGAGAAAATAACAATAGATCAGAATTAGTCACATGAGGATCACGTGACATGTGTTCTGTCTACTCATCAGATACTCTACATCTCATATCTGCTCTTTGTGATGCGTTTAAACAGATACTCTACATCTCATATCTGCTCTTTGTGATGCGTTTAAACAGGTACTCTACATCTCATATCTGCTCTTTGTGATGCGTTTAAACTTTGATGTGGGAGAAATTTCATTTTTAACTAATTTGAGGTTCATTTCATTGCTGCTACCACTTGAATTGCTGACATTTTCCGGATTTCTCCTATTATTTTGAAATATCACCGCCCTTAAGTTTCTATCAGTTTACTGCTTAGTTCGATTAAACCGCAGATGATGGGAAATCATCCGATTCTTGAGGTAAATTGTAATACATTGTACCTCTAGAATCGTATGTGATCGATGATTGGATGTATTTCTACTGTAAAGTAAATTAAACTGAAATTTTCCAATCTTTAAAGGACACCTTTCCGCCACTTTGCAGACAATGTTATTTCTTAAATCCAAGTCCATAAAATGCACTCACATGACAATTGACATATCAATACACTCGGGACACTTCGATTGCACAAAATGTAAAAAACGAACATGGAATTCAGCGGCATTTCCTGGTCTAGCAGATATCAAAAATTTGGCAAGTAAATGACTTCATCAATAGATCTAGCTACGAAGATTTGGTAGAACAATTCTGTAACAGGTCAGTTCACCTTACTTTCAGATTATGAAATAAGTTCAGTACAGATTAAAATTACTGAAAAACTAGAACAAGCAAGTATAACGAACAAATGATGCTGCAAAATAAAAGAAATAGTGTAGATAGCTGGAATAAATGCAAACTAGGCAGGACAATCAACTAAAAATAAACAGTGAAGTCAATTGGTATAAACCGTGATCTCAGCAGCAATACACGACCACACTGGATACGTTCTAATAATTAATCAATTAGTGAATATGATACACTGTGCTGACTGCTTAAGTTCGAATCAAATCACGTCATTGATAGGGTACCTGTTAATGTGTGTGAACTGGGCACAATTGTCCGTTGGCCTACCTTACTCGGGATTATTACGACGGGTTTATTAACGACCGGTTAAAATAGGGTTCGGGAAAAATATGGCGAAATTGCTCAAAACCCACCACATTTTCCCGGTCGCCATTTTACCGGTGTCCAACCTTTCAATTTTAGATTCAAAAATTTTGTCTCAGATGTAAATTTCCTTATTAGAGATAAGCAAGCAGAAATTTTCGCATTGCTAAAACTTGTGAAACAAGTCGAATTATCAATAATTGTTGAAAGTAGACAGACATAATGACTCGTGGTTAATCAAACTAGATGGAAAATAATTTTTAACATTTGAAGCGTAACAACCAGATCGATATTAAGATAAAGGGAGAGCTGTTTAGTCCTCCAATAAGTTGTAATCATCTTCGTTATCTTCATCTAGATCATCCCTTTCATCAGTTTTAATTAATTTAAGTTTTAATTTAACTGTTACTTTTACTTTGAGTCCTATTTCATTATGTAGAGATAGTCAATACCTAAGAAATTAAAAATTGGCCTATTTAAATCAAATTTGACAATAAGGATATATGACAAGAATTGGGCAAAAATGTGAATTTTTTGCAATTTTAGCCAAATGAAGTCGAAAAACCTACAACAAGTGTCCCAATAGTCTTCTTTAGTGAATATAAGACAACGTTTAAAATATGAGCACCCATACCCCTTGGGAACCCTAAAAGCTGAGTAGGCGGGTTTATTAACGACCGGTGAAAATGTGGTTCGGGAAAAATATGGCGAAATTACCCTAAACCCACCACTTTATCCCGGTCATAATAATCCCGAGTAAGGTATATAAAGTAGAAAGGAGAGGGACCAAACAGACCTACCGCAATGGCCTAGTTTAACCAGAAGTTCGCAGTGTCTTTTATTAGGACGTTTCAATAAAAGGGCCGTTCCAGGGGTCGTCCGAGTCCTCGTCTGTCCTCGGCCTCGGTCAAAAATCGTCCCTCGAACCCGCTGGGCCGTTCAAATAAATTTCGTCTTTAATAAAGACGATATCATTGGGTCGGATACCATGAATTGAGTGAAGAGTAGTGATGAGTAGTGACGACTCTTTACAGCTGCATCGATATGGGGATAATATCGGGCCTCCAAAATAACTATTTTCATGAAGATACTTAATTGATATGGACACGTTCAATGAAGTTTGAGAATATTGGTAAATATTATGATCCTACTGAATGCCACGAAGATATGTAAAATGTGTCACACTATGAAATTATATAAACCCTCTATGCCTATGATAATCGTTTCATCCTCTAGATAAACTTTGTCGCACAACGATATCTTTATTAGACGATAAGATATCGCTTAAATGCGGCCGGCAGTGAGTTGTAAACTTTGTCACATTTTAAAACGTGACAGAGTTTATATGGACCCCTTGTTGCCGTGTTTGACCAAATTTTCGAATTTCAAATTCTTAGGATAGTTGCATATGACTATTATCTACATATTTAGCGACTTTTTTCGTTAAATGGTAGCACCATGTAAACTCCGTCACACATTTAAGAAATTTATATGAGGGATGTTTAATGACATCCTGAAAAGAAATGCCGAATAGTCTAGTATTATTTTGTGAGCTGAATGTGTTTGGAATTGTTCACATACTTCATTGTTATAGGCAAATACAAATACAGAAGGCAGAAATAGGTAAACTTTAACTTTGTCACATACATTTGTATGATATCTCAACATGTGTGAAATTGAGTAAATATTAGTATACCAACTTAAACACCCTATATTACGTACTATGGATCAATTAACAATATTTCAACCACACACCGGTCATATAAATTATTATATGGCAGTGATATGTTAACATTTCAACACCTGAACATGGTAAAAATTTGTAAATTTCATCACAAAAAAATATTATAACTTTATTTGCTATTTGTTGGCAAAATAACTAGTTTATCGACATATGCATAGGTATGGTGATAAAGTAACATTATATCCTAATCGAGGTATTATTCTTCAAAATAGGGGCAAGAAATGTAAATTTCGTCACATCAGCCATTGCATTAGTTAGATAGATTTTCTTTCATATCAACAGTCCTTATTATAATTGGAATGGATTCATATTTCATACAAGAAATGTAGAAGCCCATGCCAATTTTTCGTCACATTGATATTATACTGTTGGGGCAGGAAAAGTGAATTTCGTCACATTTCAGTAACTTAGTAAAATTAAACTCAGCATTGTAAATACGGCCATTGTTAAACTTGAGTTCTAATTTGCTAAACAATAACCAACCAATAATTCCTGGAAGAACATTGAATCCTAACCAATAGGTACGGTTCTTCAAAATAGGGTCAAGAAATGTAAATTTCGTCACATACGTCATTGTAAAATTTAGATACAATTTCTTTCACGTAGACAGTCCTAATTATAGTCTGAAATGATTAATACAGAGATACAGGAAATATAAAAGCCAAATAAATTAATTTGATTTAAATTTATCACAGATCATAGTAACATACTGAAGTGTAGACTGTAGCACAGTTTACCTACCATACTATAAGTTACATCTTGATGCAAGCTAGTAAGGACAAAGTATCTTGATTCTTGATGCAAGCAAACTACAGTGGAATTCTTATTTAGAACGGCCTTCTTTTATTTGAACATTTACAAATTTAAATTTATCACAGATCATAGTAACAGACTGAAGTGTAGCACAGTTTAAATACACTTAAACTACGAGACTAAAGATATATAATATATATATATATTTTGACACAAGTAAGCATATAAGGAGGAATGTTGAGACCAAATATGATGAGCATTGAGCACAGCTGTCCTTATATAGCTGCTCCACTTCCAGTTCAATAAAATTCAGTTCTCTTTAAGTTTAAGTTCTTTGTTTAAGACTCAGGGACGATATTTCAACGGATGGTTATCTTTTCATGACTCTCGCCCAGACTGTATCCATTTAAGGCATCTGCTCCCTTCTTTGATTTACGATCATTATCGTGAACAAAATTAGAGTCTGTTGTTTTTCATAAATAGGTATAGTTCTTCAAAATAGGGGCAAGAAATGTAAATTTCGTCACATGCGTCATTTTAAAATTTAGATAGATTTTCTTTCATATCAACAGTCCTTATTCCCCCTTATTATAGTTGGAATGGATTTATACAATAAATGTAGAAACCCATGCCAATTTTTCGTCACATTGAAATTATACTTTTGGGGCAGGAAAAGTGAATTTCGTCACATTTCAGTAACTTAGTAAAATTAAACTCAGCATTGTTAAACTTGAGTTCTAATTTGATGAGCAATAACCAACCAATAATTCCTGGAAGAACATTGAATTCTAACCGAGGTATGGTTCTTCAAAATAGGGTCAAGAAATGTAAATTTCGTCACATAAGTCATTGTAAAATTTAGATACAATTTCTTTCACGTGAACAGTCCTAATTATAGTCTGAAATGATTAATACAGAGATACAGGAAATATAAAAGCACATGCCCATTTTATAATGTACGTAATATGTTAATCACAGACTATTTCATTATATAATCATTTTTTCCAAATTTAACCTATTTACGATGTCGTATCATTTTGTGACGATTTTTACATCAACTGCCCTATACTTGAATCAACTATATCCGTGTATCGTCCTTATATGGAGTTTTGCCTGCCTTCCAAACCAAAATCAGATATAAATGATTTCGGAAATTCACCCAGAATTTCAAATTCCACATAATGTGACAGAATTTACATCATTTCCCAATAACCAAGTGCTAACTTTTCAAAACAATATATTTTAGGGCTATGATTGGCAGAAGAACCCTTAAATAATGAGTTGAAAGGGTTTTGAGGACACCTCACAGTAGAAAAGGGGTCTCGTATTCTGAGTGTGACAAGGTTTACGAAATATTGCCTTAAAGCCGTTCGATCACTGCGATTAAGGCCTACGTTGTATCATAATTGTTAGATTGACCTAATCTACTACATTTTAGACCAAAAAATGCTAATTGGACAGCTATGGTAAACAATGTCACAAAAATGTGACATTGTTTACATTACAGTACCTAAAAGCAACAAGTTGTATTTCTGAGCAGTGAATATGGGAGTATGGGTCACGTGGCTAATGTTCAGAACTTATGAACACGCTAGATTGATTGATGCTAAAATTATTTATTATTAATTAAGCCACTATCGTCGAAAACGCTATTTTAGAAATTTACCAATATCCTCAAACTTCAATGAACGTGTCCATATAGTTTACATTCCAAAAATCCAGTATTGTCTAAAATGTTCTATTTCTAAAGATCTCAAAACAAAAGGTTGGTCTCCTGCTGGTCCGCTACACATTACATTAACAATAGTCAATAAATGCAGTGCTCAAGTTCCCATGTTGATTGTTGGGGTTTCTGCTCTACGAGTCTGCAGTATAATGGGTTTATAGTTAGCTATTAATTGGTTCACACTGCAATTTTGTCGTACAATTTCCAGCCTACTTGTTATTTTGCGAAACCCCGATATCCTTGAAAATATGATCTTGTTTTGATATACTATCACGATATCGAGGAAATAGACGCAAATTTAGACAGTCATCATGGCTTTAGATTATAAGCTTATCTGCCAAGAAACTTGTAATGATCGTCTCATCACAAAAACGTTACAGCAATCAAAACGAAAACCTTATAATCAGTTAAGTTATCAGGTGTGCAACTGGAAAGTGTGATGAAAGCTCAACTTTCGTAAAAGCTACGTTCTATTTTTTGTCTATTATAGGCTATGCATAGCCCTGAAGATATTATGCTAAATCCCAACGGAGATTTCACATTCACAAAGATTTCACTATTCTTGTTATAAGTACAGACCACAAACTTCTAACCACTACATACTATATGTAATTTCCACCTAAACGATTTCCTTGGATCCTCAAAAAGATCCCGCGATTTTCGAGTTATCCACCGTGTATAGTATGAAACACTGTATCTGTAATGTACTTGGCAAACGTATTGCACACAGTTTAGTTTGGAATTCATTGAAGTTGGTATTACTTGCACACATTTTTGTCTAGGTTTGTAACAAATGATACGTAGTTGATTGGAGACAATTCGCTCAAATTGTTAAACTTTAGTACGTGTTTAATTAATAACTATAGTACGCGTGCAGTGTGCGCCGCGCATTCAGTTCAGTGTATCTTCAGCTTCCCGTACTAGGCATACTTGTTCAGTACATGTTCTGTACATGTTCTCAAAAGTTGAGAAGTGTTTGCCAGTTGATCAAATTGACCTTACAACATTTGTATAAAATCATTTGATTTAATCTTTTCTATTCAAGTTATTCTATTTGTTTACTAATACTCGTAATTAGCCGTTTCTCATTTCTAACACACTTCTCCGTTCTTTGATAATTTATTGGTAATATTAGCTGAACTGGTTGAAACAACTCCAATGCTGTCAGACCATTGTACAATGTTCACTGATTAAGTTTCCATAGCTTTGTACTTGTAGCATTTAGATAATGCAGTTTTTCAGTTTTTGTTACGTGTTGATAATCAGAGCTCTCTTATCTCTATTTTATCGTTTAACATTATAACGTATTGTGCTTTTCAACTCAATACAAGTACAAGTACATAATGGAAGATATGGATTTACTTCGACGTTTGTCAGATCACTCGGCATTTTTCACTAAAGCACATCAGGACTTTAACAGTTGGATTTCGGAAGTTGCAGAAGCCTCGAACTTTGAAGATAGAACATGGTTTTCAGCTCTCTTATCTCTATTGAAATGTTTGAAAAGCCAACCAAGAAGGTTATGTCAAACATGACGTTTAGTGTGTACTATCAGATGAGCCTCTTTGTCAGAGAAATTGTGAATGCGATGCAGAGGAATTGAAAAGCTGTCTCATCCTATCACAAGAGTCGGTTATCAAGCTGCATAGTGAACTTCTTCAAGTCAAATCGAAGCATTTAGAATCTGTTCAGACAATATTGAAATTTGCCGTTCAGGACACTGTACAAGCTGAGATCAGGTCGTACAGTCGAGCTAATTTAAAAGGCTCGCCGGGCACCGCAATAACAGGACAGAAATTGATAAAGTGTACGAACTGTTTCAGCAGATCGAAGTGAAACCACGCTTTGAACCTGTCAGGATTGGAAGGAATTCAGCCGACAAGACCAGACTTGTCAAAATTTCGTTAACAAAAATCGAAGGACCTGAAATGGAAGGACCTGAGACTGAGTCAGCACCACAAAAATGTGTTAATTTCTCCGGATCGGTCACCTGAAGAGCAAGCCAGACACCATCTGGCATCTGCTCGTATTGGAGATGAAACAGATGGCAAAAGAAGATCGGACAGACACTATTATATCAGAAGTGGTATTATTTGTTGTGAAGACAAGATTAGTAAATTAAATTATTTGCGACATTCATATTCATGGTAGTTATTTTTCACTCACCCTTTAGAGCCACTCTAACATGGTTAGTAGCTAGCACTTGTGCAATGTGCCTGCTACTATCCATATGGGCCGGATATAAACACATTATTTCATCTCACAGTGATAAATCTCACCAATAATCTCCCTACATTTTAATAGGTAGGAACAAGAAATACTACTTATCTACAACCATCAGACCCAACGTGAGTGGGATCATCTCAACATGGATTAACAAAATACAGCAGCAGTTATTAAACCTAGTCCTTCTTCGGGACCAACAGATACCACATTTACTGGATCAGCAGGGCCGACCAAATCATGGTTACAAGATCGCTACAGGTCAGTACATCACCTAAATATCAACCACATATATGGGGGGGGGGGTGTAACCCAAAAAAACCCAAAAAAACCCAATCCCAGTATTACCTTTTTCAGGGTAGGAGTTGGGTTTTTTTGGGTTTTTTACAAATTTTTCATTTGACGGAAATAAAATCATGTAGGCACCTAGCAAAACAATTATCAGTACAACATCACTTTGTGGTTCATCACTACAACATCACAATAGATATAATCGCTTAAATATCACCCAAAAGCAGTATTTTATTCACTGATGTGCTCAGAAGAAGTTGGCCATCCAGATATGATATCAGCCATATGTAATGCTCACTTCGATGGCCATGGCAAATTGAGTTAGTAGGGACGCAACTCATTGATAACCCCAACCCTGACCGCAACCGGTACGAGAGGAATAAAGCCTTTCTTCTCACCTTCACGATCTCTGTTTCCGTTTTCCTGATCATCCGCTTAACGAGAAACCGTGCTCTATCTCCAACTGAAAGAATCTTGTAGTTACCATCAGCTGCATGATCACGTATGTGATATTAAGTGATATCTTCGCTTGTTTATGGCCCTGGAGTCGCTAAAATCTTGACTGGGATGGCATTCGATCTCGCCCTCCATTGAGGCAAACCTCAACAGCCGTATCATGATGCAGAGCATCACCATACACAGTTACTATTGTCGCCCATTCCTCTGATTAGTCAATATCCTCCACTTCCTCTTCTTCATCATCTGTTTCCGCTTCGTCACTCTCTGCTCCGTCAGAAGATGGTGGGAAAGCCTCTCCTTCAAAGTTACAGTGTTCTTGAAGGAGTTCTCTACCCCTTGAGACTCCCTTCTTCATAGCTTGTAACAATCTTGGCATTCAAGTATCTTTACTTCTAAATAGTTTCTCTGCTTTCGGATGCGGTATAACAAGCTTGTTGCGAGAGTGGGCAACTGTTACAGGGATCAAACTTTTGCCGAGTGCATCAAGCTCGAGGGAACGGTTTGATTTGCCCATGCCAACCAACATATCCTTAGAACACAGATTAGTTCTAATGCCTGCCTGGAGGCCTATGCGCAGGAAAGCATAAAGTTTGCTCGCAGGCATCGGATGTAAACAGCCAGGGCATAAAATGTTGATAACTGTTGTCAGCTGTTACACTGAGAATGTACAGCATCAGACCCTCGACTGTAATAATCGCATCATCAAAATTTTTACAAGTAGGCAGGTGGTCTTTCAATGGTTGTGTGAAGCTTAGGTGGCCCAAGGCGTCACCGCTGGATAGAAGCTGGGTGGAAGCCCTGGTCTGATGTGAGGCTCCCAGAACTTTGAAAAGGGGTATCCTGCTGGTGCCCTCTTCCAGACACTCATCTGACAGCATGATGAAAGCCACTACCTCCGCGTGGTGAAGACTGGATACTGGACAGGGGGTCCAGGCTAAAGGCAGGACGGTCGACGGGAGACATTGAGCCCCGGAAGTTCAATAATTTGATCTATTGACTCCTTAACTCTTGGTCTACAAGAGGCTTTGAGACTCGTAAATCTTTACTGTGGATTGCACAGTAGCTAAAGAGGTGTTGGCTGTTACCCTGTTCAACCTAGTCTACTATGACCCAGCTAGACTGGACCACACTCTGGTAGTCAGGATACGGCTCCCTATGCCCATTGCCCGGGGTACCGGGTAACGAGGTAGTCAGGGGAAGGGTTAGTCCCCGCTAAAGTGTAGCTCTGTTCTCACTCTAACCTCCTTATGCTTTGGGATAAAATCGGAAAGTCCCACACTGGAGCAGGTGACGATTGGGTAAGGATTACAACTGATGCTGTTGGGTAGAAAAAGGAAGTGTCACATTTGTCTTGTATAGCATATGTTCGTGCAATTACATGCTCAAGATACCCAAGATATTATGGTGAGAGTTGAAGATGGCTATTGTTCAAGCGGATGCCCTTAACCTTTTAGTGGCGCAAGGGTTAAGAACACAATCCACTGCCAATGTGTAGGGGACTGCACAGGGTTGTGACTTGTGAGCGAACTGAAAAGTCAAGATGAAGTTAACCAACAGCTCAAGGGTTAAAGCCCCTTATTTTTCTAGTGAAAGTGGTTGCCGGGTTAATTACTAATTACACTGCTATTACAGAAACTGATGACTCGGTCTCTACAACACGACAACCTAATTCTACAGAAAGTCAAACAAGAAAAAATCAAAAAATATGAACATCAATTGCATTGTATCATGTAAAAGGGCTGCTCAGGTTGGCACGTTTAACATAAGAACAGTCAGAGAACAGCACAAACGCATCGAACTTGAAGAACTATTTTCTCGAAGCAGCTGCACATCCTTGCCCTGCAAGAATCGAACATCGGGTAGTGCATGCTGATTGCTGAGAATACCAGAATAGAAAAGATGAACAAAGGGATTCATCCAGTGATCTCATCTGCATGGAGAAACGCAGCTGGCGCTTCTAATGGGAGAGTAGGAATCATCTTGACGAGGAATCATCTTGACGAGGACAGCATATGAGGCTATAAGTCTTATAAAGTTATAAAATCTTACAGCGCAAGGATCCTCACCATGTCTTTCAATGGAAAGCCCAGGCTCACTGTCATCACATGCTACAGTCCTACAGAAGCCTCATCTGATGAGGAGGCAGGAAATCTCTTTTGTCTAAAACCAAGCATCATACAGTTAATTTAGTAGGAGAGGAGCCACACACAATAATTTCTAAGGACGGACATGCCTTAGAGGAAGTGAGGATTTTAGTACAACGGAGCACGACTTTAGGTTACGCAAGGCCGAGATTTAAAGATCCCTCTGTTCAAGCTACGGTTGAATCAATCTTCCTGTATGGAACGAAAACGTGGACAATAACAGAATCTTTGAAGAAAAGAATAGACGGATGTTACAGTAGAATGCTTCAGATGGCCCTAAACGTGGACTGGAGAGGACATAACTCCCAAGAGTTATTTCGAAGATACAGGCCAGAAGAATGAGGTTGGCTGGGCACATCCAGCGACATGATGACCTGGCAGCACACCAGCTTCTCCTTTGGGAACCTAGGGAGGGGTAGACCACCGCTCACCTTCGTCGATAACCTAATAAGTGACACTGGACTCAAGAACACTGGGGAGATTAAGGAGCTTATGGCGCGGCGGACAGAAAGCTTTGGAGACACATCATCGAGACTCGGACTCTGAAGCAGCCTTAAGTCAAGTAATTTAAGTCATGTGCTTTGACTTGCCCTTGACCTTCGTCATAGCCTCCTTCCATGACAGGAGAACACATTTGCCACATTTGGCACATTTCCACTTTGTGCAATCATATGGATTATATCTCGATGAACGAGACATCCTGTTTGCTATCGTGATAACATACTATCAATATAAACACACTTATATACTATGTAAACTATCTATTAAGTTAAGACATGAGAACAACACGTAGGTAAGACTCAGTGGGAAATAATTCACATTCAATACAATTAATGAAATAGCTAGAATTTTGATTAAATTTTGTTTTTAAAACCCAAAAAAACCCAAAAAAACCCAATCCCAGTATTACCTTTTCTTGGGTAGGAGTTGGGTTTTTTTGGGTTACACCCCCCCCCATATATAAATATCAACCACATATATAATAACCAAACTCAAATAACTGTGGAACCAACAGGGACATATTTCTAACTATAAGCACACCTTCGAACTACAGGACAGAAAACTGACATAACAACAGAAAACAAACCTGACCTCCCCCAGGTCCAAGTGTACTCCCTGGCGTTCTTCACTTACTTTGGGTTCTATGTGTCACGAGAACCGTACAGTCTGGTTAAGATGACCCTGCTCAAGACCTGGGCTCCCTTCAACGGTCCTGACGGTTGGTTGCTACTCGGACTTCTTGACACTGCCGGTCTTGGTTAGTACATGTAATTTTAGGATCATTTGAACTAGATATATTTATTTAGACAGATTGATCGAAATAATTGCCAAAAGGAATTATTTATTAATTATTATTTGTGTAAACATTATGTTTTTCGGCTAAGTATCCTACAAAATTGAAAATACTGTATATTTTCAGCAACTTATGCAATTGGGATCTTCATCGTGGGCTACTTATGTGAAAAGTTCAACTGTAAGCATGTTTTAATAATTGGATGTTTTGCTGCCGGAATCACGACCATTTTCTACGGAATGGCCAACTATTGGAACGTCCACAACTATTGGTAAGCTAAATCATCATTTAGAATCGTAACACTAACATGAATATAATCGATCAATAAAAAACAGTCCGAATTCGTGTTTGATCCAATCATAATTTGAAGATTCCTCGTAAAACTACAACTAAGTATTTCCAGTAGGACAAGAATCACGGTTAACAAAGTTCACAATTTCAGGTATTTCCTCGTCTTCAGGATGCTGAATGGATTCGCTGAAGCGTTTGGATATCCCACCCTGATAAAGATGCTAGATCACTACTTCTGTCACGAGGTAGCCAGGGATTTCATTATGACTGCTTTCGGGAGTTGCAAGTTTTTAGGTAAGGGGGAATGTAGCGCGAGTATTTCATTTTTAAACTGAAACAGCACAGAATGATATTCAAAGCAGTTTCGATCAAATGTTTTAAAACATACAGTAAACATGTAGTATCACAATTCTATTCGATACCAATTAGTGTCTACTCAATATTTCATAAACATTGTTAACAGACCATGATTGACCAGCCGATAGCCTATTAATTGGATTATGCTAAGAGGCAAATGCACCATTTAGATAGGCAAAATATCACGAATTTATAAACGATCCCGAATCTTCTCTTAATTTATTGCACAATTACACAACGATCCATGAAATATTCGGAGAATCATGCGATTCCGCATCCGCCGCATCTAAATCGTACCTGCTTCAATTAGTTATTTTAGGTGAACGAAAATCTATGATAAATACAGTGGTGTAACGTTACCATTTGTCGATCAAACGTTAAGTTGACCTCAAACAAAACACCTCAAATTCGGAAAAAAGCGCCCCCTTCTGATGGCGCCCCCGCATAGCTGGGTCTGCGGGCTCTTCGTTAGTGTTACGTCACTTGTGTACTGCCTCCCCATTGCTTTATTCTCATGAGACTGGTGAATATTTTGTTATTAGGTTGAACCTTTTGTTTTATCAAGCTGATGGATGTATCCATAATAGCTTAACTTTGTTCGGTTTGAGTTGGTTTCGTGGCACACGCAAAGATAATTCTGTTTTGGTTAGCAAGATGTCAAGTTTCATTGCAAATTTCCAGTCATTTGCGTATCGATGATGAGAAGCTCAATAGTAATACCTGCATTGTAGAATGTTTATGACGGCCGTTTACCGGTACCGGAAAAAATCCAGAATCGCAAACTGTTATTAGTCTGTAAAACTTATAGACTAATAACGGTTTGCAGTGATTTACCGTGTAAATCTGTAATACACACCTCATGATAACGTGTTTTTGTGATGTCGTTAGCGACTTTATTTTATAAACATGGTGACTTTTTAGTGTATTATAGTTCTGTACAGTACATCATTTTTATTTACATTAAGTATAATTAGTACAATTAAAATAATAACAACTCATTCATCTGTAATATCTCGAAATCAAGTTTTGTTGTCCCAAAATCATTCTTTCTGCTTTCAGAAAATAATGCTGTTGTCGAGGTTTCAATGGACTCTGCTTGCTTTACTCTATTTCTTTTTAACTTGTTGCCTTTTGGTCGCATACGTGGCAATTCCTGGCTTAGACAGAATAACCAAACAATTCTATACGGGTCCTCAAAGTGTCGGGATTGGTGATCCAGCCTTCACTCTGGACTTGAACCCCGAAAAAAAGTTCGTCCTTTTAGTGGCATCTTTCAGGAGCGGCTCAACATTCGTAGGTCAGACATTTGACCATAACCCAAAAATACAATATCTCTTCGAACCGTTTCACGAGTGGGGACTGACAGAGCTGTATAAACAGGGAGCTCTAGTCGGGGCCCGTCCCGATCACACTGTATCGGATCTTAGGATGTTATATCTGCAACAAATAATGTCCAACTGTAGTGTATATCCTACTGCTGTTTTAGGAGAACAGTACGAGTATTGTGGAACCCCCGAGGAGCACCGACACAGGTTCAACACAACCGAGTGTGATGTCCAGCTGCTGAAAGAGGGGTTCTCACATCAGGAGATTTGCAAGTTCCGGAAAGTTGTTGCCATGAAGGTCATACGATTGAGAGACCTGTCAGATATCACGAAGATAGCTCGTATTAAAACGGCTAATGTTAAGATAGTACACCTGGTGAGACATCCTTTTCCAGTGATGCTATCAAGGAGAGTAGGGTTAGAGTTCTTTATGTGGAACGAGCGTACAGCAGTGGAGTGGGGCAGGAACAATATACCTGATCAGAGAATCAAGGCAGCGTGGGAGACTTACAACTACTGCTACGAAACACTCAGGTCCATTGATTTTATTGAAAAGGATCCGTGGTGGAAGGAACGTTACTTGAGGATTTCCCACAGGGAGATGAGTTTGTCACCTCACCGGACTGCGGAACGGATTTATGATTTTGTTGGAGAGCATCTTTCAAGTGAAATTAGGCAACATTTAACAAACATTTCTTCAGGAAAACTTGCCAATGAAACAGTCGTTAAAACACAAGATCCTCCTTTGAATGTTTTTAAGAATTCGTCTCAGGTATCCGATAAGTGGAAAGAATTTCCATCTGATCTGCTGAGTTATTGGGATTTGTATTCTGTTGAATCGCAGTGCAAGCTTATTATCAGCCCGATTCAAGAAAGGTTTTCGCTTGACAATATTTCTTTGGCCAAACTTTTGAACATTTATGAAGAACATTTGCGTTGAGAAGTGTGTGAAATCTGAACGCTTTCATTTATACATTTGCAGTGTGCACTATTTGTTTTTTATCAGTAATTTTGTTATTTAACAGTAAAACCATGTCAATCTGTTGCGTCACAAAAAAATCATACAAAAATTACGAGACCCAGTGAAATATATCATCAGAAGAGATCAATCGAAAAAAAGAGATCAATCAAAGAGAATCAATCAAAAAAGAAGAGATCAATCGACGATTTATCATAAAAATCATATTCATGCAGACAAATTTTATTGCAGGACTATTATCACGTGATTTATAACGTGATGATTTTATTTCAGGGATAATCATAGGGTGTGTGATATCAAGTCTCAGCGTATCTTTCTCTGACAAATGGGGAACATGTTTTATTCTGTGTGGTCTGGTACTAATAGCTATCGGAGTGTTGGATATGTTCCTCTTACCCAGCCTCCCGCCCAACTCAGCACCTCTTGTGGATGGTTTGAAAATTTCATTGTTTTCGATCACACCTTCTGTTTTGAGGGACTTGATATAAACTTTCTATATATCTGTCCATTGTTTCAATTTGATCGAACCAGTCGTATCTTGCTGATTGTATATCGTCTTTTGAAGTCAAACTTAAAAATGAACCTTTGAAACAATCTTAATTCCAAAACGGCATATTTTGAGTGTTAATTGATAACACCTTTATTTGGTGACACCTTAGAAACGACACCGATATTAGCAAATAAAGATCAGAAAGATGTTAGCTCTACAAATGAGGCCGAGAACGTTAAAGAACCCCAGGATGGCACAGCTCCAATAATTCAGACTGATGGACAAACGTCTGAAACAAGGCAGCAGGGTGAGAATACAAAATATAATATATGGAACATGTTTTAGGAGGGCAGTACTGTACCCGTTATCATAGTTTAACCACAAGCTAGATCCTTGAACTAAGTCTACTTTAGTTTGATAAAATATCACAATAGCCCCTATTAGTACAGTCAAATCCGTCTTTTTGTCGGACAAAATTCGCAACAAAGCGATTTTAACGGGATATGGTCGGGACAGGTCCCAGGATTCATTCCAGAGAGTTCCCAAAATCCTCGACTTCAGGAAAATCCACAGTTACCACTTTTTTACCACCTTTTTACCACTTTGGTTTTCCGCAAATAAGTCACGTTCTGAATATCCTAGAAGATTCTAGTTTAAAGCATTGTGTTAAGAAAACAAAGAAGAACAACTTTTTCTTTAACAACGTTTTCAAAAATAAATTATTTATTTAATTAATTAAATAATTAATAAATTTTAAAATATTTCAAAAATACATTTTCATGAAAAATGTTCACAATTACATTCCACGAATATTGAACTAATTTCTATGAAAATTTTGAAAATTTTCACTAACAATATTTTGAACTTGTAAAATTTACGAAATTTGAGAAGAAAAACCACTATTTACCACTTTTTACCACATTGAATCTCCGCTAAAAAAACGACTTCTGAATATCGTAGAAGGTTCTAGATTGAACCAATGTGTTCAAAATATAAAGAGAACAAAGTTTTATCTGACAACCTTTGGATTAGATAATTAATTAATTAGTTAATTCGATTATTAAACAAATATCCAAAAATTATAAAAATTATTTTTGATCAAAATATTTTAAAATTACATATCACGAATAATTAACAAATTTCCATTAAATTAATCGGGAAATCGAAGTAGTACTTTATATAACCATATATATACTAGATAACAGTCTAACTTATGAGTCCTCAGCTGGCACATTGCTGCAATTGTCCTGACATTTGAGGCAGGTTGATCCACAATGTATTCCTGCTTTTCTGCATGAACAAGCATTGCCACAACCTGACTTTAAACATTTGCAACTGATTTTTTGAATGAGCTTTTTCGGAGCTGTACTCATAAGAGTGGTCACTGGTACATGTGTCCCATTGTTCATCTTCCATCCCAGCTTATCGGATCTAGGTCATTCTCATCCCACACCTGCTGCTGATGGTAAACACGATAAGAATGTTGGCGGGAGCTGTTCGCACTTGATGTCTGCTGTTGAAGATTGCGACTTCTGTTCAAGAACTGAAAGTCTTGCTTCATCTAGTGATCTCGATTTTTATGAAATCAGCTATTCTTAACCAATACAATGTTTTAATTTACCAGGCAAATGAGGAGTTAGTTTCGGTGAATAGCTTTAAGAGGGCGAATGATCGACAATGTAAATTTGCACGGAATGAAATATGGAAAGGGTTGCTGTCCTCAGGTACTATTTAAACTATTTATCTTTTAAGTAAGTGCACTAACTTTTAAACTATGCCCAGCAAATTTGAAACGGATACGTACAGTCCTATTCTTTATCCTGACGCCTCTCATACCTTGTATAAATAAAGAAATCAACGCACCACAGGTTGGATCAACAACCCCTGGTCACTGAACGAAATTAAACGGCAGTACAACGGCATGACTGATTCAGCTCTGAGTGACGTCTTGTGTGTATTATTGCAGACAGTGACCATAGACCAGTTCCAAAGATTCATATCTAGCCTAGCGGTTAGAGCATCCGCCTTCTGCGCAGAGGTTCAGGGTTCGAATCCCAGTGTCACCTAGTCTAGGGAGTAGCTAAGGATCCATTGGATCTAAGGGATCTCAACGGTCGACTCAACCGAATGATAGGAAACTTAATTGAGGTTTAAATGAGGCGGGGCACCTGTTAAAAGTTCAAGCAACTAGGATACCCCTTCAGTGCATACTGTAAACATAGTGCTGTTAACTATTATATCGGCCAATGAAGAGGAGTTCGTTGTAACTGAGACAGGACCATCTTTAGTCCGCGAACACAGTTTAAACAAATGTCCATTCTGTAACGTAGAGATCGCACTAAATGATAAATCCTCAAACCGGATTACAGACAGGGTAAATTATTGTGCGGGGGAGGGGGGAGGTGGTATAGTACACATACGTTAGGCTCTTACTAAGTTCCTAATTCGCTCGCCCAAAAATTTCTCGTGACTTTCTCCGTAGCTTAGTGCACTAGATTCCCACTATCGGAATCGTTCTGAATAGCCGATCCTTACCAACTCCGTGGATCCGACTGGTGGTGTCTGATCCAGTGAAAGCGTGGCACAGAAATCGTGCAGAAAGCCCAATTACGGTATCCTAGCACCCTGTCACGTGATAAGCAATTAGGTAATCATTGATAACCCAATCAATTTCGCTAACGAGATAAACAAATTGCTTGATAACTTCGTCATTTTCAATCCGTTTCGCACATCGTTTTGCAGATGTTTTGATTTGCAGAGAGGCAGTTCTGTGGTCTAATCCAGTTGATGTTTCTGTAAGTCGAGAGATATGATGTGTAAATATTTATAAATAAGCTATAATAGTATCGTACAAATTTTGATATTTTACCGTTTATTCCATTTATCTGAATTTTTTAAATCTGTTATCTAATCTATGTGACGGTGTATGTTCTGTTATTCAAGTAAATTCATTTTACGTCACGGCAAATATTTTTGATAAAAAGTATATTTTGAAATTTTTAAAAATTTAATTATTATTTAATTAATAAATCAATTAATTATCTAATCCAAAGGTTGTCAGATAAAAAGTTGTTCTCTTTTATATTTTGAACACATTGGTTCAATCTAGAACCTTCGACGACATTCAGAAGTCGTTTTATTAGCGGAGATTCAATGTGGTAAAAAGTGATAAATAGTGGTTATTCTTTACGAATTTCGAAAATTTTACAAGTCCAAAATATTGAAAGTGAAAATTTTTATAAAAATTAGTTCATTGCACGTGGAATGCAATTGTGAACATTTTTTATGAAAATATATTTTTGAAATATTTGAAATTTTATTAATTATTTAATTTATTAATTAAATAATTTATTTTTGAAAAAGTTGTTAAAGGAAAAGTTGTTCTTCTTTGTTTTCTAAACACAATGCTTTAAACTAGAATCTTCTAGGATATTCAGAACGTGACTTATTTGCAGAAAACCAAAGTGGTAAAAAGGTGGTAAAAAAGTGGTAATTGTGGATTTTCCTGAAGTCGAGGATTTTGGGAACTCTCTGGAATGATTCCTGGGACCTGTCCCGACCATATCCCGTTAAAATCGCTTTGTTGCGAATTTTGTCCGACAAAGGCTTAAATTAGGACGGATTTGACTGTACTATATTACCAGAATTAAAATATTTCAACATGGCTTTTTAGTAAACATTTTTATTTCAACTTGATTGAAAACTTTTCCCAGAGAATCTGGGGAACAAAGAAACCTTGTTGGAAGCACTTAGATTGCCAGGGATCATAGAATATGCAATTCATCTCTTCTTTGTAAAACTAAGTGAGTATTTTATTAATTCATACCAAATACAGGTCTCTGTAAAACTAATCGAAACCAATCAGAAGATTCTCTATCAAAGCCCTCTCCAGAATATTACAAAACATGCCTGTCTTACGTATTTTTCCACTGAAGTCTGAACATAGTTTAAATACACGAGTACTGACACGTGCTCTACTACAGGTGTGTATGTGCTCTACTATTGGATCCCCACGTGGTTCGAGTCCCTCACTCTGCAGGGTGTACAGATATCTTACGTGTTATCCTGCTGGTTTACTGCTGTCTGGGGTCTCGGAGGGTGTGTAGGTGGGTTCAGTACAATAGGGGGGGGGGGGGGGGGGTTACAGTACAATAGGGGGGGGGGGGGGGGGCGGGGGGTCCAGTATACCAGGGGGGGTGGTTCAAGTATAATAGGGGGGGGGGGGGTTCCAGTATAAGGGGGGGGGGGGGGGGGGGGGGGGGTTCCAGTATAAGGGGGGAGGAGGATATATTTTTAATCATGTAGTAACGCGGACTTAAATATTCTTTTAAGTCGAGTAAACTGTCCTCAGCTTTGTCTGAGGAGAGAAACTCTTCCCGAATGATGGATACAGCTTATCTGTGGGAAGGAAATATCGAAATAAATCTGGTAACCCAGCCTATCCGGGGTTTAAATAATTATTCACACTAAACAAATCACACAATCTGACTGATCGTAACCGTTCACTGTGCAGGTACCCTTTTAATTGGACTGGCGGTTTACCTGACCGAACTGTATGGAGTGTTCAGCACAGCCTTCGCCGCCCTAGCTTCAGTATTCATTCTCTCCCTTTACTGGTACAGCACTCTCTCAACAGCCTCACTTGTTATTTTCCTGGTTATATTACTTTGTGTGGGGATCACACAGAACGGGCCGTACTCGTTAGCTAGCGCTTGCATGCCGTCCGCTATTAATAGAATGCAAACTGGGAGAAATGAGAAACTTGTCGGCATGGCTACGGGTGAGGATGCGTTTTTTATTCTTCTAAATTACTTTTAAATTTATCGTTTCTCTATTACCATTATCAAATTCCCAGTTCTAAGTTTTAACACCCAGTACCCACCTTAAATAATCAAACACTTTTAATATTTTCACCATTTCCACCGACAACAGCTACAATCTACATTTAACCAGGTATAATAGACGGCTTTGGTTCGGTGGGAGCAATATTCGGACCTCTCTCTGGAGCTATTATTCTACAGTGGACTACATATGGCTGGGGACTGGTCTTCCTCCTTGTAGCAGTGTCCATGTTTGTCGCTGCTTCTGTTCTATCACGCCAGGTTGGTGAATATTTCGGTACAAATATTAATATTGACTATTAGGTGATGTTTTGTTATACTTATATATAACAAAACATCACCCAATACTGATGTAATTTGTATTTATGATTCTCCGTAAATTGATTGGTTGCAAACTAGAAATTCGACTGATTTGTCGTGTATGCTTTTTAAAAAACTTTAAAAGGAAGGATACCAAACGAAGAAAATCCCACCATGATCACAGAAACAAACATTCCATTTTAGTTTTAATATCATCTTACTTTCATACTTATTTTCTTAATTGCATTATTGCAGGTTTATTTAGAATCAAAGAGGTGCCGTGCCGAACTTGAAGAAGTTAACTCGGAAGAGATATAGAAGTGTGTTTTCTGTGGTTTTATAACATGTTCATTTTGTAATGGTTTGTGGTCAGTATAGTAGCAATATAATTGATGTTGATCGGCAGAATAATTCTGATATAGGGTGAAAGTCACGACTGAGGCTACTAAAACGTCTACCTAAACATCATTTAATAATACAATTGATAGCTGTTAGGCGAAAAGATAATGAAGTAACACTCATTATTGAAGATTTTTAAGAGGAAAAAAGATAAGGAAGATTATTCGAATATTCCATTACAGATCGCTTTTTTAAATTTTAGTTGTTTCTGATGTTCTTTGATGATTTGTAAATATTTGACAATTATTCAAATATTATATATGTTAATGCATCTTTTGGAGTAATTTTATCATTGAAATGATCTATGATTGAGTTTTGATGTATATTTACAAATTCATTCATTCCCACATCAAAGCCTACCATCAAACCGCAATGCGTTTTCATGAGTCTAGATTTTGAACAATCAAGGATGGAATTTCTTGAAAGGTAATAAATATGATCAGTTCACTAGAATTACTCAAAAAGGATACGGCACCGGGAATTCCCAGGCGGTCACCCATCCAAGTACTAACCCGGCCTGCAGTTGCTTAACTTCCCAGATCGAACGAGATGGGGTGTATTCAACCGAGTATGGCCGTATCCATCAATGTTGAAATTTGAGCCACTATATTTAGTCCATCGAAATTCGATATCAGTTCCTAAGCATAAGGTTCAAATAACCAGCCTTATTAAACTGGAAATGTTTCAAGCGGAAAAATTGTTCACTCCAGATTGGCTGAGTAGAGTATTCATCTACAATTAATTGAAAATCACAAAAATGTCTAGGTAGACCACTCTAACAATTCCGTTTGTCGTCAGATTCATGTGGTTCCCATTAAATTGCATAGTTTGGCATTATACAGAGTTACGAGGTAACTAAATTGTTCGTACTTCAATCAGAATTTAAGCTGAGCTGAATAAGCTCTCTTGTTGGCAGTAGCGTCTGTATAGACCTAGCGGCTGACGCCTGACCGTACAGTCTGCGGCCTGGAATGATTACTTACTACTTAGCACCAATGGGAAATAAACCTTTGACAGTCTTTGACCGCTAATAGAGACTGCAGAATACTTGTCAGTCGCCAGGTCTTCACTGAATTCTGAGCAGAAATTGGTCGGTGGTCACAGTTCGTACCAGTGGCGAAACTTTGCTTGTTGGCGCCCCCCGCTCAGTGACGAAAAGCGCCCCCTAAAATTTTTTGTCCCTAAAAAAAAAAAAAAAAAAAAAAAAAAAAAGGTCGGGTACTTTTTTTCTCGCCCCCCTACAGCTTTTTGCGCCCCCTGAAGCAAAAAAAGGTACCCCAAATATTTTTTTCGCGTCGGACGAACGCTAAATTGGACAGGGGAAATACACAAACTAGGCGTTTTTTCAGTGAAAGGGCCTAAAATTCAGGAAAATTGCGCCCCCCTTATACGGCGCCCCCCCGCACAGCGGGGTCTGCGGGGCCCTAAGTTACGCCACTGGTTCGTACGAACATCAGCTGTATATACTGCTAGCTAGCAAGCTGCATGCTGCGCGCGTCGCGTCAATAAATGTGCTCTGAGCTGCTTCGATTTTACAGTCTTCGTGATCCATTTTCATAGCAAAATGTCACCGCGCGCGCTCAATACGACATGTCCAACCCGGATTACGGTTACGTCATGTTAATTGAGGGAAGACACTGAGCCCCTTTTTACTTGCAGACGTAATTATGCCGTCCTCTGACCCACCCTGGGCACCAACTGCAGGCCGTGTACTCAAGTAGGACGGAAGTACTCGGTGGAATGTGGTTAAGCTGACGAGACTATTATCTCCTTATTTGGCAATGGTGCGGTGATTGATCAGGCGGAAAGATTACCTCATGCAAGCGATGGCTATTATGGTAAATTGTTTTTATTTTGAAAGTGGCGTTATTTTTGGCCATATCTGGAGATGTCATTTTCCATCTTTAAGAAAAGCAGAGCTAATATGTCAATATGGTTCTATATCCCATATTTAGTTCAATTGTAGGTTCAACTACCAACTAGTAGACCGATCAGTCTAAGCTATTCAAATCCTACTATATATCAGAGATATACTATGCTAAATTTGTCCTTAGACTTAAAATTGGGACTCTTTAGTTCCAAAATTCGTTGATAAGTTGGATGTAAGGCAATATCAATGTTGACATGTTCATCGAACATCAAACAGTATAACGCCTGTAGATTGTGAACATGTGATGGAATTCTTTATTTTGACTATTTATACTCCCTACGAGCAGATATCTATCAAACAGCTTCAGGGTCCATAGAGTTAAAGAAGTAAAGTAAAAGTAGTTTCAGTTAATTCAGTGGGAACTGGGAACCATGCCTCTTGGTGGGCTATTGTGAGATAGTCGGACACAACTCAGACCATTTCATCAGCGATATAACGCTCGGTTATGTGATATACCCACAAATTATCGCAGTGTTTTGTCTATATTGAAACATGATAGGAGGTATATATGGTAATTAGAAGCTAGTCAGTAATCAATAATAATCCAGATGTATCATCAAGCTTGGCTGTTGTGAACATGATCAGTGAAGGCAGTTTTCACCACTGAAGGAACTATTGTGTTCACAGTGAGATTATTACGTGAAACGCCATTACCAAACATCCTGTAACTATGCAATGATAACATTGGAATGTAAGTGATAGCATTATACAGCCATTAGGCATTAACCAATCTATTATATTCTCAACCTTCAATACAATTGATCAAATCTTGGGATGCTGCCAAGATTAATATGCCTGTGCCCTGTTGTTATCAATTGTACATTATATAATGTATGATTATATACACAATTATTAACGTCACATGAGGTCGCCAGTTTTTGTGATAGATGCTCAGGCCTCAGATTGGTTAATTACTCTCGAATTTCTCCCAGATCGATCAATTACTCCTAGTGACATATGTCAGTGGTCGAATTGTACCAATATCCGACACAGCTAATGACAAATGAACAGGGTAGGGAGACTGAATGCCGACCGCTGATAGCGATTTCTGGCTAAGTTTTCCTCGGCAAAATATATTCTCGGTCGACATTTTATGTTATAGTTCAGTGGGAATTGGATTTACAGGCGTGACAGGTCTGATGTACTATTTTATAGTAGCCAAGTTAGCGACCAATAACTGATAAGACCACCATGAAACAATCTCAGTAGTCTAAATTCCGGGAACCCAAATAAGGGACGGTGAAAGTTACAAAATATGTTTCCCAGAAAACCTATCAAGGGTACGTTAGAGAGACCCTATCTCCCTCGCTCGCTCCTCTATTTCCCACGCAACCTCCAGCTTTTACCCAAGTTCCCGGCTCCCCAGCCCTCGACAGTGTCAAAGTTTTTCAGCACCTCCCGCCCACGTGCCTAGCAAGTGACGCGCGCATCACACCTCACGTGGGACGACGTCAAACCACGTGACATGTGACGTAGGGCACGTGCTTCGCAGCATTTGGCGGGTATCTCCAAAGCTAGTGTAACTTGATATACTAACACCTGACCCGAGCCGGAGAGACATTACGAAATGCGCAGTACCTACACGAGTTACATAGTCGACTTCAACCCGTTAGTTTTATATACTCTACATATTAAGAGTGTTATATTTTATAACATTACGCAATGCATTAATGTAAAATGTACGAGTATCCTCATAACAGGTCGGATTATGTCATTTCCCCGCATTACTATTACTAATAATAATTCCTATGATAACACAGGAATGTGATACACAAGATTTCTCGAAGAATGCAGTTCGGCAGGGTTTTGCCGCCACGTTTTACACCACCTTGGAGCGTACAACATATTACATATTCACTGGTCGGCTAATATTTGATTTCTACCGCCATAACAAATGTTCCAGTCGGTGCGAACCCTGTCTGTCTACAGGATGATCCTGTGGGGTTTTCCGGACTCCTGATTGGCCAGCACTTAATTTCCGGCAGTCTCATTGGCTGTCTGTGACTGTTGCAGATTAACTCTCAATTTGTCTGTTTTGTCTGTAGGTCTTGTGCCATTGTGTACCAGTCTCGTAGCAACCACCGTGTCGCTAAGTAACCAATGAGGGAATAGCACGTGGTCTCACGTGGCCTTCAACAACCTATCAAGTCTCCGGATTCTCTTGCGGTTACAACCCGGTGCTTGGTTCTGAAAATCATCGTCTAATTAATAATTACTGCTGTCCCATTTGACTGAAATCACCACCAGACTTCAGTCCTGTGTTCCTCTCAATGGGGTTTTTTTGGCCCCAACAAGGAGAGTCAAACTTATTGATTTAACAGGTCCGGATGTCTGGCAATATAATACTCTCCGTCTGTAAACTTACACCTAAACTTACTCGGAATCTAAGTCTGTCTAGCCGGCTCTAAAGAGTCAGTCCGACCTAAACAATGTATAACTATATTATTAAAATATATTCCAACGGATTTTAATAATTTCACGGTCCCCAAGTCGGCGGTATTCATGACAAGCAGGGCTCCCCTGCGACATGCACGGGTCAAGCAAGCGGAGTTTGGAGCGGATCTAAAAATACACCTGACCAAAATAGAAGCCGGGAACTCATTGTACAGTCCTTTTATATCTCTCGTGCATACTGCACATGTAAATGAATCTCTGTTTAGGACTCCTCCGTTAAGAAAAGAGACTAAAACCGCTAGTGGTGAGTGCACACTTTGGCTATGCATGTTCCATTTTACAAGTTTAAATCGGTTGAAAGTGCTTGTTGGTGCGATGTTAAGTCATTAGCCAAGAAAACGTTACTGTAGTGTAGTGCTTCATTTTAAAAATAGGATTAACATTCACGATTGAAATAGAGACGTGGCGCACTAGAATATACACCCTTATTTCCTGTTTTTTAGGACCTGAAGGATTGAATATTCAATTTTCAGTGATATTTCTTATGCAGTTAGTACCCTTGTGACCTTAAATAGATTGAATGGCGATTCTCTTAAAACAAAGCTCAGTGAAAAAGTTGGCGATAATTTAGATTTTGGCTCTGGTTACTAAATTTCTTCAGAATCCAGACTGGTCAATAAAACATCATACTTTATATATCATAGTTGCACAATGGCTTGTTTTCACTCTTGAGCATGTCAGATTAAGATAATGGTACTCATGCTGAAGCACCCCTTATTGGCCTATATGTGTAGCCTCATTCAGCAATCTTCATCAAAGGCTTGGGGATGTTATCAAACATATCATCGTTATTGTTATGTGCCATCCTGAGCATTCAACTATCGGATCGTGTTTCTACTCAAAATGCTGCAACTTTGATTCTGAGATTTGTTGAGCTCTTTTTTCACTGATCAGATTGGCTATAGTACTTTGGCTGCAGTACTTTGGCTACAGTACCAGAGTTTTCATATCATTTCAAATGTACGTAGCTAACACCTATCACCTA